TTCGTTTCTTTGTCTGTTTGTATATGCCTTAGTAAAAGACACAAACTGCGAGAGAAAGAAAAAGAAGTTTCTTCCAGCTAATCGTCAATCTGTACATAGGAAAAGCAAAAGACTTGATTATCCTTCAAGTAAAGATGAGTTGAACTTTTGTACATTTCTTTCTTTTCCGCGTACGATATCTCTCAACGATCGACGGGTTAACGTCGAGCGCTATGCGCATTCCTATTAGTTTTTTTTTTCTAAGAATGGAAAGAGAAGAACTGAACTTCAGCGTGTGGTGATATCAACACATTAGTAAACTACGTCTAGTGTTCTTATGGATTACATCGTTTTTTTTTATCGAGAATATGAGAAGGAGAAGAATAGAAATGATGCTCCTTTCTGTTTCTTTAACCGATTCATCGTTCGCGTTCCGTCTTGATATTTCTTCTTTTTTTTTCTCATTCTGTTTGTACAGGATATTATTTTAGGAAAATTCTTTTTTTCTTTTCTTTGTACCAAAGAGAATGAGAGACAGAAAAGTTCGACTAGAATAAGAGTATATGTACAAGCATCGACAGTATTAGTATAATAAATGTCGATGAGATTTTTTTTCTTCTTTTTTTCTTAACCAACCAAATATCTTTACATATAAAGATAGTATAATGCGAGTATGTTTCTTTATATTTTTTTTTCTCTCTTCGGATTCCATCGTTTTCTTCGAGTGCGACAATAGAGAATTATTGATGATAATAATAGAAATATTTTTAGGTTATATCGAATGAATATGAAGATTAGAAGAAGAAATTTGAAGGTAAAAAGACGATTTTTAATGAAATTAGAAATCTACAAGGTAGAAAGAAGTTATTCAGGGAAATTTAACTCGACTAGACATCCGGTATCCGTCTTCTTTCATTTAATTCAATGCGATTAAGATTTATCGATAAATTTAATCAAGTGTTTCTTTGAGTTTCTAATCGAAGTTGATTTTTTTTCTCCTCTGTTCTCTTTCTCTACTGATCTAGTTTTGAATTGAAATGATGTGTTCTCTACATAGAATAGTTCTTCTCTCGGTTTTTTTCTCTCTCTCTTCTTCTTCTATATGTAACCAAATTAATCTAAGACCGATGGGAAAAAAGGGGAGTAGAAGAGAAGAACAACTGAAAAAAAAGAATTGTGAATACGAAGAAAAAAAACCGAGAAAAAGAAGTTCATTAAGTTGAGGAACTATCATCATCAACATCGAATAGAAAAAGAAGATGTGAGGTTGGGTTTTTTTTTTATTTATTTTCTTCATTCGCCGCATGAGTCTATAACAAAGCAATTCATTTCGATTGTTGAATCAAACAAGACAAATCTTTTTCTTTTTCGAAAAAAAAAACTCAATGAACCGAAACTCATTTTGATTTTTTTTTCTTTCACAAGGCTTTTTTTTCTTGTTTGTGTTCTGTTTTTTTTTCGATGTGCTTCTTGAAGGTAATATACCGACATTTAGTGTACATTGAAAAAAAAAATTTGCATTTATAATCATCGTCAGTTCACCTTCATGAAAAAAAAAAGCCAAATGCGAACAATAAGTCGATTTTAACTATGAAAAGCAAAGCAAGAATGAAGAGAAAAAATAGATAGAAACAATCTAAATACGAATTATGCAGTCATTCGTTCTACATTGACTTTTTTTTTCTATAATAATGTCATTGATGCGTGTTATATACAACGATGCTTAAGAACAGGATTTATTTCAATCGATTTTTGTTAGGTTTTTTCTTCTTCTTCTCTCTTGATCTCGTTTTTCAATTAGCAGAGGTGAGTAAATAGAAAAACTTTTTCTTTTTTAAATATCAAGATTAAAACTAAGAATAATTGTTATAATTCCATATGTGTGCTTAAGATTCAAAAACTAAGATGTCGTTTTTTCTCAAAGAAATGACATAAACATCTCGAGGAAAGAAAAACGATGATCATCCTTCGAAGATTTCAATCATCACATGCACTTTTTTCCTCTCTATCTATCTTATCGTCATCTAATTAGATTCAGTTTTTCCACGACGGTCATCAACAGAATAAAAAAAAAAACTAGACGACAACGATGGGAGAATTGACTTTTCTCTTTTTTTCCTTTATTTCATATGTTCGCTTCAGAAAAGAAAAACGCCAATAGAAGGAGAAAAAAACAGAAGTTCACTTGAAATTTAACGGATTTTTCTCTTTTAGATGCATTTGCATTGAACTACATCTATTGAATTTGATCATGAAAATATTTTGATTTTGTTTCTGAAAATAATACGATGGAATCTACTAACGATCAACAAACTCCACCTACTATATCGATTAACAATAGCAGCAGTCGACGGAAGCAAAGTAAACCAAATCGGTAAGTGCATTCGCGTCATTTTTCATCAAAACATGACAGATAGGAAGAACGAACTAAAGTTTGCATTTTTCATTTCTCATTACTAATCTTGTGCACGATGAATATTTATCTTCTCCATCTGGATGTGTTCGAAATTTTAATCAGATCAACGAAGATATCCATTCTAATCTTCGTTCGTTATTTGAGAAAAAAAAACTGAAATTGTGTGAAAGTTATTGATGAGGCACACTACTAACATATACAAACGGAAACGAAACTCATCAAGTATTTGCCTCGAACGACAATAAGAGAAATAGACAGACAAAAAAAACTCATAAATAAAGGGAAAAGAGACCGGGAAACGAACTCATTCAAATGCAAATACACGCATCAATGCACGAGAGAAGAGAGATACTGATGCATCACTTTTTCAATTCACTAGAATCGATTGAAATCGAACTTTTTTTTGTAGACTTGAACATGTCGTCACGGACAACCCATCAACTATTCCGTTAACATCAGATTCAGGAAATTCTTCTTCAATTCTTCCACCTCTCACTCAATATCATGTAGCAGCCGAACAACAAACTTTTGGTTCGATCGGAATTGGCGGAGATGATGAATGTGATCGAGTTAGTCTAAACTGCGAAGATGGATCATTGTCATCGCAATCAACAGGTGAACATTACACAATTGACGATGGCAATCACCGAACACAAACTGAATTGACTTCAACGAATGATGAGGAAAATCGAACACTCGATTCGAACGAACAACTGTTCAATTCAACTAATCGTTCACGTTCGTTGAATCCCGCGAAGAAATCACGTTCATTGAAAAGAAAACATTCGAATGGAAATCTTGATCCAATTGGAACAATGTTGACACCGACGAGAATCTTTCACGCTGATGCTTTCTGTGCAATTTGTCGAAAGGTAAAAATCTTCTTGAGAAACATTTTTTCACAATTCATTGTTCTTCTTATTTTATTAGGAATTTTGTAATAAATATTTTCTTAAAACGCAGTAAGTATCCGTTGTTGAAGCAAAAGAAAATAATTAGATTTTCTTTCTGCGTCTATTCATTCGATCTCAAATTGTTTGAAGATGAAACTTGAGAAAGAAAATTCTTTTTTTTCAAATATTAATATTAAATTACAGATTAAATGAACATGAGATACAAATAGAAAAAAATGACAATTTTTTGTTTTCAATAGAAATCTAATCTACTCAAATTTAAGATTAATTTAATACTGTCTTGACTAACTTCATAAATTATGATCAGAATACATTCAACAGAAATTTGAGTATTTCACTATTTCAACGGAAAATATGGATTTTTCAAAAGAAATCTTTCAACAAAATGTCATTCTAATCGGACTTAGTTACAAATTTTCTATATTTACCGACGAGTATGAAATTAAGAGTAGATCTTCGATCTTTTTTGTTTTCTTAAGTTAGAACAAACAGTTACATTTCTATTTTTTAAATTACATACTGTTTTGTGCATAGTTTGGCTAATAAACATGGAATATTCGATCCTCAATCTGTTGGTTCGGCATCATCGAAAGAACTTACTGATACAACTAATGATTCGAATCTTCAACAATCTTTCGCAGTGATTTCGACTTTAATTGGAAATGATCAAGATGAATTAGCATCTTCACCATCATCTGATCTAATACAAACGAATCATGATAATGAACTTGGATCATTGAGACTTCAAATGAATGGTGTTATCGCCGGTGATGATGATGATGATGATAATGAAGAAAATCAGAATCAAAATAATAATAATAATCATAATGATGAAGATGATGAACAGGATGGAATTGGATCAAATCGATTAATCAATCTTCCACAACAAATTGCTTCGATTTTATCGAATGAAAATACCAATCTGAAAACGGATGATGATCAACGAGTTATAACAAGTAATTCACCAACGAATAATTTAGATTTTCAATCAACTCGACAATCATCGACGAAAATTTTAGAAGATTTTTGCGATATTTGTCAAAAACATTTTTGTAACAAATATTATTTAAGAGTAAGTTATTTTCATTCGTCTCAATTCATCTGTTCTCATTTTCTCATTTTTAAAGAAACATAAATTAGATGTTCACGGTGTTCAAACCGATTGCAATATCAAACCGTATAAACGTATTGACAATAGCTCGTTATCTATCAAAAATTCGCCTCCATCGACAGCAACTCAACAAATTTCATCATTTTCGAACGTAACATTTAAACGTACGTTGATGTTTTTTTCAGTAAAAGAAACTTTCGTCTTCTTTTCTGTTCAGCATCTTCTGTTCAACAAAGTCTCGGCTTGTTACTTAATCCAATATTTTCTCCATTAGTTCAATCGGCAACTTCAACTGATCAACAAAACTTATTAACAAATAAACGTCGTTATACTGATAGTTCAAATGATTCTTCATCATCTAAATGTCAATATTTATCGTCAGATGTCGCCAATGTTCTCGCTAATCAACTTGTTACAAACAATTCCAAATCTCAAATAAGTACATGTACTTTATGTGGAAAGAAATTTCAATCAAATGATTATTTACAATTACATCTTATGAACAAACATCAAATCAAAACAGATATTCAACAACGAACAAATAAATTAACTAATTTCATTACAACATCTAATCAACCATTAAATAGTAATACGTATAAAAAGATCAAACTAGAACCCAATGAAACAACAGCTATAACATCGATTATTAAGTCACCGACATCACCTAATGATGCCAATTCGTCAATAGTCATGCCCGGAATTGTCGATACATATTTCGCAGCTAAAATGGCCGATCGAGTTTCATGTGACATATGTCATAAGGTAAATTTTCTCAATGAAATGCAACTCAGGTATACAATATTCGATCTGTTTTTCTTTGTAGCAAGTATGTAATAAATACTTTTTGAAAACACATAAACTGAAAGTTCACGGTGTTGGACCTGATCCACTCGGAGCACCATCGAACGCAAATGAAACAGCGGAAGAAGAAAATGATCAACAACAATCATCGGATAACAGTCCACCTCAACTTGTTGTTGATGAAAGAAGTATCGAACCAGGCGTTATACCAAGTCCCGATGCTTTAACAGCATCTGTGAATACATTCATTGGTACAAATAATGATTTGAACGAACAGATCACATGTGATCTTTGTTCGAAAACATTTCCATCAAAATTTCTTCTTCATATTCACATGACAAATGTTCACGGAGTTCAACAAACCACTTCCACTGCCAACGGAGCACCAATAACGACAACCGCAATAGCTACTAATAACAAAAGTCAATTGATAAACGCAGGAATTCAGAAACCAATCATAAATGGAAATAGTTCCGTTCGATTAAAGCAAACGCCGCAAGTTCAACTACGTGTCACATGTCAAGTTTGCAAGAAGGTAAATCACATAAACATGTTATCTAAATGATTCCAAAATAAATGAATGTTTTTTCTAGGAATTATGTAACAAATACTTTTTACGTGCACATATGCGTAATGTTCATAATATATCTGTCGATGATTTACGCTTGGTTCAACAACAACAACAACAACAATCAAGCTCAACATCTCAATCATCTCCTAATTCAGATAAACAATCAACTAAACAAGTTTTCTCTCAACCTTCGAATATTTTATCTCCGACATCAACAATTCCAACTGATAGTCAAATGGATTCAACAAAATACTCTTCATCCAACGATAATGCACTGAATGGACATCAAACTGATAGCGATGAATCAGAAAATATTTCATCATCCAACGACAATAATAACAATAATAATCAACTTTTGTCTATGCAACCGTTTCTTGTTGAAAGTGACGATGATTTATATAAAGATTTATTTGTTCCATGTATGGTCTACTTACCATGTCGACATCGTGTCACCAAACCATTGGAAATCTCACTACGATTAAAGCCTGTTGATAATACTTCAACAACCAATGTCGATTAATTCAATATATCAAATTCAACATCAATTGAATCTTTCGGAAGCTCAAGTTCAGATATGTTCTCCTCCTCTTCTTCTTCTTCTTCTTCTCGTTTCATCTTTTTTCTCTATGTATATGTACGTGTTGAGCTAGTCTATCACATCTAGATTCTATCGAACAGTTCTCTCTTATTTTTGTAAACTTCTTCGAAATCTCGCCGTATGCGAATGTAATGAACAAATCTTCATGACACACGTTCGATGTCTATATATACATATAATTCTATGTGTGCAGTGCAGTGCAGTGTAGTTATTTGATGTATGTATGTATACATATGCGTGTGCAAAAAACAAAACGGAACTCATGACAAGAACAATGCTCGATTGTGTACATCTGGTTTCATACGTGTGTATTTTGTGTGTGTGTGTGTGTTTTTTTAACCGGCCTTTGTTTGCAATTGTAAACGAACAAAAGAAAGAAAAACATCTATTCGTTCTTCCCCTGTGTGTGTTGTGCAATCTTTTTTTTCGCTTTCTTTTGTAATTTTAAGAACAATAATAACAAATAATACACATCTATGCTATATCTTTCTTTTCCTCCGTTATGAAAAGACGTTCTCACTTTTTTTTCTTGTATTTCGTTTTTCTTTTTTCTCTCTCTTCTGTGTAATGTATCGTTTTTTGCAGTGTGTGTGAACATATAAGCAGAAATGTATACTTTATAGTCGTCGCTACATTAAAGATAAGTAGTGTCTGTGTGCGAACAAAGTAAATTAATAACTTATTATTTATAAACACGATGTAATCAATATTCTTTCGTTTATTGTTCTTATTGAACGACTACAAGTGTATAAGAATAAGATTGAATGTCATATGCATTTAAACTCAAAGTGGATTTGATCGTTGAGTCATCACGGACAAACAGATTATTGTCTAATACTGTTGTTAGCGCGATGATTCTGTAGAAAGTTGAACAAATCTGCTGGTACTCGACGGTGATTGATCGTGATTTGTAGTTTTGAATGATCAAATGAATTTCGTACGTATCTCGTGTACTATTACGGTATGTCGATGATTCATAATGTGTATGTTTAGCCCGAATGTTCTCGTCATAGAATGTTGTCGATGAGATTAATGTTACATTCTCTTTATAAACAATATCAGGATCAATACCGAGTGAAAAGTCGAACTTATTTTGTGCAGCAAGGTTAGGTAGACGAGTTTCGCCAACAATGCGATCCATATCTCGTACAATGCAACTACAAGAATCAGAACAGTGCATATTTCTTTAAAAGAAAAAGAAGAACGTGAAGTATCTTTACTTTCCACTGGAAATAAATCGATCAGATTGAAGACGATATGCACGTTGTGCTTTGCCACTACTCGGTGCGAAGGAAAAGTATTTCGAAATTAATCCGTATCGTTCCATAATTACATGCGGACGAACCATAGGTAAAAGATAATTGGTTTTAGCATCAATAGTAAATGGTTGGTTTATAGGAAAAACATAAAGACCAGTTAGTTCTTCACCTTCTTCAATCATAGGTGGAATAGTCGGCAAATCCGCGGAGAAATGTGATGAGGCAACACTAGCCCTTGCGAAACTAAGGTGCTCAGTTCTATGAAGATTTCGTACGTTTAGATTAATATCACCACCGATGAGTTCAGCATGATCAATCGATACAGATGATTGACCGTCATTTCGAATATTTGCCATCGTAATCAAAGTACGATAATCGTCATATATATTCAATTGATATTGCGTATGCCATTTGAGATTTGATTGAAGAAAAGTAACATTCACCTTGGAATCAGTAGTAACATAAGTAAAATTGACGTAGAACTTCGATGTTGGTGGTGATTCCAAATAAAAAATATGTTTAGGTAGAACGGTAAAAAACAATGTCGGATGACCAGTAATCGATTCATCAGTAATTTGCACAAGATTCGAGCTTTCATCAACAAGAATACCTGGTACTAACATCATCGTATTTTCATTTGATGATACTGGCGAACGGATCAAGATTTTAGCACCATTGAGCGATTTCTTTTTCTCAGTTATTGTTTGCGATGTAATATTAATATTTTCACTTGAGAGTGTGATTGAATCGGAACGAATATGATTCCATTCATCTTCAGTAAATTCAAGCGGTAGTTTGTCCAATGGGCGTATAAATTCCGCTTGATTTGAATAAATTCGAACGAAATACGATGACCTGCAGGACGGTAAAACTAAGATGAGCAATGTAAAAATTTGTAGAAGCATTTTTTTGCGTAAAAAATCTAAAACAGAGAACAAACATATCATCCGAACATTCGGGAGATTTTATCACGTTTAAAGAACTGATTTGGCCAGAACTTGATAAAAGAAATGCATCTCGTCTTCTTTTAAAAAACACTCTGACGACAAGAGCAATTTATTGTGCGGTGCAAAATCATAGAACGATGCTTTTTTTCTATCAAACGACTCTGAATGTGAGAGGAAATGAAATACCTTCCTATCGATAATCATACCCACAAAATACGAATTACTTTCTCTTTTCCTAGGTAGTTTTGCTTCGATTCATCCACGTGCATACAGTTTAATTTACAGAACTGTCAACCAATGTCACACGTTTTGCTCACGGACGCGGACGGTGAGTAATCGATCGCTAGATGTCGTTTTGTTACCGAAGAAAGAAAAACATCAAACGATCGTATTGAGTGCAAGTGGAGAAATATTAAAATTACACCATACATATGATTTTGAAGCAAATATTGACATCTGTAAACGGAACATTATTCTTGACTTTATTAGAAATAAACTGCAACAAAACTACACGTAACCAAGAAGATGAGCTTCACTATACTGTAAATTAGTAGCCACACCTCGTTGTGTCGTCATAATGAATCGATAACTCTTGAAACGATGCACGTTGGTAAAATTTTGAACGTCGACATAAGTTGATCTAGGTGGAATAGTGATGTTTGAGATTCCTGTTGATCCACTATAAATTAATGTCCAACTTGAACCTGTCGAAAGTAGTGAAGTGTCAGTTATATTACTGCCTTCCAATGTCATTGTGATTGGATCACGCCCCGGTGCATCGTTTGCTGTTGCAAATTGAATACCAGTAACAACACACGCACCAACAGTGAGTGTTACATAGAAACCCGTGCCAGCACCGACATTTGACAAACTTTTAGTATAATTGCTATTTCCGTAATTGTTGTATTTGGTTGAAAGATCGTAATCACCAACACTTGCTGGACCTTCTGACGACGTTGGATACTGTCCATTACTTTGTCCTTTGGTAACATTGAGACTATCGCCACCTGCAGTAGCATTCCAAATTCCTTCTATAACGTCTTTTTTCGAAATCAATTGATACACTGTCGGCAATTCGAAAAAATAAAACCTTGTACCCGTCATTGTATTTAAACTATAATTCATTGTGAATGCTTCGAACAATAAACATGCATTAGCATACAGAAAACAATTGAATCCCGAATAGTTCATCTCTTTGGCATAACATCCGCATTCGTTGCAAGATCCATTCATATTCATCGTCGTTATATCATTGTCTAGAGGTTTGAATCCTGTGTTATCGATAAAACCAATCTTAAAGCACACAGCACCAGCAATGATAATTGAACCGAAATAAAACGTCGATATCCACATGGTGAATTTGTTATATAAATAGTTTCTGCAAGGGAATGTACGACTGTCAAAAATTGAACTCTTTGCTCTTTGGAGAGGTGTTACTTTTTCTGGATGGAAAACAAATAAGTTTACTGGAGTTTGTTGTGAATCGACAAAGGGAAACAAGTTCAACCTATATTATTCTTTTCGGTGCGCATGTCATGTTTACCGATATGACTAATTTCCTGATTGTTGTTTTCTCTCGGAAATATAGAAGGAACGCTGAAATAAGAAAAATACAACTTGAAATTGATCGCTTTAGTATCTTGAGGACATTTTACAAAAACATCGATACGATATTGCGATACAAATCCCGACTCCGAATCTTGAGGATGTGAGTGGGCGGGTGTATCAGTAGTGTAACGATGCAGAAACGATTTTATTTTATTATCATTTTAGATGCGGTCAAAAACTGGATTAGCTAAAAGTGAAAAAATCAGCAATGTTATAAGTTCACAATAAGACAATTCTAAATCTTGATAATCAAAGTGTAAACTCACAGATATATAATAGTTCTTTGAGAACATGGATGTAAATGTCTCTATACCGGCAAACTCTCTTAAAATTACACCCTCTAATTAAATCAGATGTTTCATAACTAATGTCTCTTGGAAAGACAAGACCAACGAACTCTACTGAGTCGATAGTCTGTGGATATTGCGCTACAGTCATGGTTCAATTAGAAAATATTACCTGGTAGAAGTAGCACGTGTTTACTTTCTTTTTATGCCCTGGGAATGAAAACATAATATTGACTAAGAAAAGAACAGAGGGAAAACATTTGATAAAATCAGTGCGTCTCTCCACATAGTATTCATGGAGATAATCAACAATATAATCGATCAACTCGTCGACGAAAGGTATGCTTCTGGTCATGACGGAACGTTTCGGAACGCTTTCATAGCATCAGCAATAATTACAATCAAAATCAGACGAATGAAACTCTTTTTTTCCAGTTAGGTGTGTACTACTCAACTATGATTTTGATACAGACAACAAACATGAATAGTCTTGAGAAGAAGAAAATTGAGGTAAAACATCTGCAACTTCCTGTGGAAATATCACAGAAGAATAATGTGAGAAAATTTGTTTCCTACTATTGATTTACAACGAGTTTCCCATTACCACCGGTTACTGACCTGAGGTTTTCAAAGAACAATATTAAAGTCAAATGAATCGCATACGTGGTTCAAATTTTATATTATAACATAATCCAGCAATAACCTAAATCAATATCTTTCCAATGTTTATTTCATCATGTTGGAATTTTATTCTAGAAGACCACAACGGCAGACCTCTCAGACAACCATCTTGGTTTGGAGAAGATACAGAAGAGCGTGAGAACGGATTCGATTACAAGCATTCTTCTTCTACACTCATATTAATCACACTCTAGGGTGCAGCCGCAAGACTTAGCTGCTGCATCTCACCCGATGAAAAAAATTTTGAGTTTTTTCCCGTTTTTAACGTTTACTTGCCTAACAACAAACATCCGCACCCGCCAATAGTGATAAAGCAGCTGCTTTTCCCACTGCTATTGTAGAACGGAAGAAAAAGAAATGTGCTTTGTCACTCGCATAATAGTCATCAGCCATTGAAAGTCGGAAAAAGATATTATAATGACGAAATTGTGACAAGGTATTGTATGGACGGGAAGAAACCCACTGGCAGATGTTTACAATGACGAAGTACAACTAATATGTTACTAATCTAAATTTTCCGATTTAGAAAGTAAATTATAAATAAAAGCATCGCTATCAGTAATGTGTTATATTCATAAATAATATTCAAATGGCAGATTCTCAGTTATTGTCGAATACAAATGCAGCTGAACTGAACTTTTATCGCGCTCTGGCTAACTTTAGTCAGAAGGCATACCTCAGCAGTGATAACGCGAAAGCTTGTTGCTCAGAATTACTGGAAACTACGAGAAAATTACTCGAAACTCAAAGCAATATATCGGATGATCTGATTATTCATCTAGCAACGACCATAAAAATGGCCCTTTACCGAGATAGTAATCGTCTGATTATAAAGGAGCAGCGTAGTATTCCTCGCCGTACAAGTTCGAATGTGATGAAAGTAGCATTCCCGATTATTTATGAAATCTATACGGCAGTCGGCTTTGATCGCTTCAAACGTGAGGTGGACGGAACTCCTCTTTGCATTGACCGATGTACTTTGTTTATTTGTCCTCGTCCACCCCCTCTACCAGGCAACAAATACACGCATGGACAATTTGATATTCCATCTCATTCAGAAGTGAAACACATTCCATTCAAGAATGTTCAGCATGCTGTGCACAACATCAACGATCTGTTCTCAATCTTAAGTCTAAAACAGAATGAACCAAATGTAACCGGTAACATAAATGCTCCTACAGAACAAGGCGTCGAAGTTCATTTTATTGGAGGTCAAAATCATGCTTATCATGGACCAGATTTCATCTGGTTTGCACCTCAACCGTCAACAACTTTACCAGAAGAGACTCAATGCACGTGTCCACCACTCAACATGAAATTTTCTGTGTATGGCAGTTATATTTTTCGTATCCCCTTTCGCAATCTGCTTCGATTCAAAACATACTGTCTTGGAACTCGACAGTACGGCAAAGAGTTCTGCCATTCAATTATGTTCACCGATAAAGATGTTCAAACTGTTAAACTCGAAAAAGAACTTCAATCGACGGAATTGATCAACACAGGACTCATCGAACAAGTTAGTGATGATTCTTTCGACTGGCTCTTGCATCGCTCAGCAGAAGAAGCGTATGATCAATTGGACTTCGCTCTTGCCGCTAGTGATATCAAATGGAATACACATGATAGCGGTGTTCGACTAGACTTCATCGATCATCGTGAATGTGTACGTAACTTGTTTATAGCACGTCAAACCGATTGCCAACCAGTGACACGATCAGATGCCATGCAAGAATTTATGCGATGTCTGACGGAAAACAGGATTGAACTAAGTTCAATAAAGTCTTTATTTGACGAAACGGTTTATTGCGAGCTACAAACAATCCTGCGAGCAAATCCACTCTGGAATCAAAACATGATCTCTGAAAATTGATCTTCGTTTTACGATGTGTTCAGACATTTTCAATCTAGAACGTCCTTTTATGTCAAATTTTGAATAACCATACCTAATGACTACTAATACCCCGAATACTCACACCCATTTAACCCTTTCGGTCCCAATATTTTCTTGCATTCTATATAAACACGAAAAATAGGAAAAATCCCTCTCTTGTGTCCAATCAGTTCTATTTAGATCTATTCTGTTCATTAACACATAGAAAAAGAATCACACGTGTTATAACTTGGTTCAACGCCATATGATATTCGTCTTCTAAGTTCTAAGAAGACGAACGAAAGAAAAAACATTTCGTTTGCGTTCTGTATAGCATTTATAGATACCATAAGGATTGAAAAGGTTACATAAGGCCAAGGAATTTGTAGATGCCACTTACGAGGGGAACTGCGCCAAATGATTAACAACTTTAGAGCTCATTCTTTGGGGACATAAAGGATACCACTAGACTATAGAACAAATCAAAAAGAATTCATCTCCATGATCGTTCTTTCCTCACATATTGAATATTCAAGTTATGGAGTAATAGAGGACTTTTGACTCAATATCACAACTATCGAAAAACAAGAGTATGATAAATACAAACAGTTTTGTGCTAAAATTGTTACTCTCGAAGTGAGCATATCTCAATTTTTCGGATTCCTCGCTCATATTTACTATTGACACTCACTTTGCGTTGAATATGTAGACTAATAATCTCACTGAAAAATATGTGTTTATACAATTGGATAGCGTATAATTAGTCACCAAAATGACAAGCTTCAAAAAATGTTCGAAGCAAAGTACTTTGCGACAATGACTATATATTAAATAAAAGGTGATAAACGACAAGACGCCAACTAACAAACAGTAGCATCAATGGTGAAGCAAATTACATTGACTGACTTGAAAGTAACTGGATTCTGTCTGATCAAGGTAACCTGATTCAAACTATGTGTATTTGATCATAGGAATAAACCGAGATGAGAATAATTGATTATGAATAAGAGTGTTCAAGTGTATCATGTTATTTCCTTCGGATAAGTTGATGCCGATATCATCGAGCTGAACGTGATCGAAAATGAGCCGAGCGATAACCTTTCATTGTCTACTGAAATAGACATCTAACGGCTGGATACGAGATATAGTGTGAGCGGGTATCTCAAGACAGTTACATCCTTTGACAACAGAGTAGATATCCGAGAACAGAAGCGATTTGTGTGGCACGAACGGACAAAGAACATGATCTCGCCTGTACTCGATCAACGGTCGACACAGTTTTTCAGAAGAACTGCACGTTCCTACGACACTTGGGATAGAAAGTAATTTACTTTTGATATCTGAAAAATGACCTATCGCTCATTTTGTCAGTCGGTCCTTTCAAGCAAAGGAATGTGGAACCGGGAAGTTGTCCTGCGATGGATATCATCATCTGAATAGTATAAGAATATGTTGTAGAGTTTCTTGATCTAACCCAGAGCAAGGTAACCTTTTCGCCCTGATGTCAAAGGGTATGGGTCGAATACATTTCAAGTTAAAGTTCCATCTGGTTAGTATTGAGGATTTTTTCAGGTGCATACTGACTCATCTCTTAGTTCACGTTTGCTAGAAACGAATCAGTAGAGGAATCGATAGTGACAGAATGTAGTAACGACAACGACTAATATATTGCTGGTAAGGGACGGTTCCGAATCGATGTGTTGTTGATTTTCATATATGCCTTTTTCTTCCAGCGGAATCGCGGACATAGCAAAAATTCAACTACCTTTTTCATGAACTCCAGACTGAAATTCTCTTTAATTGGAACTTTGCCATCTTCAGTCTCTTCAAAGTTAGGATCTAGAATCGTTTCTGATTCGAACTCATAAGAGGCATAGCTGGAAATATCGTCAATTGCCTTCAACAAATAATCGGCGAGTTTTTCTTCGTATGAATTTGTGTTATCAATTGGCGCCGGTCTGAATCTTGTCTTTCAGTTACTTTTTCATCCAGTATCTTCACGATTCTTGCAGGATCAATCATTATTTCGATCATAGCAAAGTTATCAGCAAAATAGACAATAAACATTTCATTTCGATGGCAACTACTATACTATGCGCTTTTCTACCGTACGACCGAAAAAAATACTCGTTATTATGATCCTGAAAAGAACGTAATAAAATCAAATAGTCTTTTTGCACTACTAAACAATGATGGAATGAGACCGATGAATTTTGTCAAAAAAATTTCATAAGACACTATCAGAGTACACGTTACATCCTGACTACGCCGTTAACTAGCATTGAAGAAATCTAAAAATGACATCACGAGAGAAGAACAGAAACATACAGTTTACTTCATTTTTATTGAAACTGATTTCATAACAAACATAGATATACACAAGTTAACAAGCAAATAACTTTGCAAGAAGAAACAAAGTCAAGTTGATTTTTCATATAGAGAACAATAACAAAAGAAGAACAACAATCATATACAAACAAGAAGTTAAACAATAATTCATCTCACATTGTCGTTTTAACGAATAAATTAAAGAAACAACATCATGCACAAATTCGTTCTTTTGATTTTCCTTCACGAAATTGAAATAACTAAAAACAAACAAGAATTGACATATTTTTATATAATTCAATTTCATATTTACCAAGATCATTACTGTATTGATATGTCGCAACACGATCAAATTCACTTCGTTTATATTTTTCTCGTACATTTGTATGATACAATGATTTTGGTACTTGTTGCATAAGTTTCAAGATTTTCTCTATGGATTTCTCCAATTCTTCATTTTTATATGGTTGATGCTTATAGAAACGTTTGGTAATCTGTAAATTATCCAATTGCCGTGTGAATTTCAATGACAATAAGAGTGATGCAGCTGCTAACAATGATCCAGGCATTTCTTCTGACAAGACTTCATCACACAGCGCACATTCAATCATATATTTCGATAATGAATAAATAACGAAATGGAATGGAATGAATCGAAGGTAATAACAAAGGAAATGTATCGCTAATGGATATTCTATTAGAAAGAAGAAAAATATTAAGCGAATAAGACTGAAAACAACAAACCGAGTTCAAAATCCAATTGTGTTAATAGTTGTTTTTCCCCGTGATTAAGATGATTTGGTGTTACATGGTATCGAGAATCGAATAGAGCTAATAGAGAATTTACATTTGGCACTCGACGTGATTCGAGTTTACATGCAATTGTGAAACAACTACAAAATTCGGATATAGTTTCGTAAGAAAAACTAGTGTGTCTTACTTGACTGCTCGTAATTGTAAATCAAGTTTAGTCATTTGATCATTTAAAAGTAGAATTCGATCGATGAGATGAATTGTTCGACAAAGAATCGCTAGAATGATATGTATGTAAGAAAATCGCATTTCTTGTTTCGCTTCTGATGATTTACCTGCATTCAATCGATGATAATCATGAACAGATATCATCCAATCAATAAGTTTGCATCGAACTTTCGACGTGATGATAACTGAAGAATGACAACCTGGTGTTGGAATACCTTCAATTGGTTTTAAAGTATTGGTGGATTCTCGAAGACGTTTCGCTGAACGTAATTTGTCATTATCAGTCATAAAATGTGATTCTAAATTGAGTAAATATTTCATAACTTCTTTTTCATACGTTGTTGTGGTCAAAACGTCGAAAAATGGATGTGTTGCTGAATCGATTTCATTGTTTGTTACTGAAAAACAAACGAAATAAGCAAAACTTGTCGTTTATCAAGAAAGTTCATATCGTTTCTCACAATCAAATTGTTCTTCGTCTTCATCTCCAATCGAAACTTTCGGTGTAAAATATTCATTCGTTGATTTTTCTTGTTTCAAAAATTGCTTTTCGTTTTCATTTATTGAAGGAACTGCGATGAGCATTTCATTGAGACGTTCTTGAATGTTTTCCATATCATCTTGGACGATTGTTCGTCGAAGTTGATCAGCTTTTTTCTCGTTTACTACGAGATGTTCAGTTTTGACTGTGGCATTTTCTTTGATTGGATCAGGAACGACGGGTAAGTTGAGATGGTTATTATCGAGAGTCAAAGGATGAGAAGTTTTTTGTCGTTGGCCTTGATGGAGATTTTGTAGAGATTCATAATGAGGCAACAGATGATTTTCATTCAATGATTGACGACAAGAAGACGTGGATGAGGAACGTGGAAACATTTGTTAAACAAGACAAGAAACAAACAAATAGCATGGAAATGAAAGATTTAATTGCATAATGACAAGTCGATTCAAGTTCCCAGACAAAGAACAACCAATCAGAAGAAAGTCGGAGAAAAAAAGACATTTTTTATCTATTCAGTTGGATCTCTTCAGTTCGTAATCAAGAAAAACAGATTTATTTTGCATTGAAATTTATTTCGATTTCAATTTTTTCGGACACTAACGACATCTAACAAGTACAAACACATAGATATTTTTATTCACTTAAATCTTGAGTAACTTTTGCACTTTAGTCTTACACAATCGGATGAGAGCGATGAAGAACGTATAACTGAACTGTCATTGTACCCAAACCTGCACTACTTTTTTGTTAATTTTGCTTTAGCTTGACGCAATTTCACATTATATTTTTCAATTGAAGGATGCGAAGCTGGCAAACAATTTTGTGCCATATTCAATGCATCTGCATAAAGTTTAAGTGCAGCTCGGTAATTACCCAAACGAAAATAAACATCGCCTAGATGCTGTTTTGTAGTTGCCATTGATGGATGATTGTTTGCCAAAGCTTTCTTTTGAATCGATAAAGCTTTTTGATGAAAATCAATTGCCGTTTTGTAATGACCTTGTTTATAATATACAACACCCATGTTATCGTAGGATGAGGCAAGCTCTGGATGATTTTTTGATAAGGCACGTCGCCGTATAGTTAATGCTCGTCGATGGTATTCCATTGCGTCTGCCAATCTACCTACAGCTGCAAACACCATTCCTAAATTATTGTAGGTTGTCGCTAGAGAAGAATGATTTTTTTCTAGTAGAGTCTCTTCGATCTTTTGGGTTTTTTCAAAGTATTCCAAAGCCTTGTCGTAATTTTCTCTTTGAAAGTGAACCATACCAATATTGTTACAGCTACAAGCAACGGCTGGATGGTTATCTGTACCCAGACTAGTCAGTAGATATTCCAATGCTTTATTATAGTGGCAGAGTGCTTCGTCAAAATTACCTCGCCAATCAAAAACAGCTGCCATATTATTGTATGTAGCTGCAAATTCCATATGATCAAGTGTACGCGAATGTAGTAAAACTTCCAGTGCCTGTTGATGATAAGCCAAAGCAGCATCATAATCACCCATTTTTTCACACATAACACCTAAATTGTTGAAAGTACTTGCTGTAGATGGATGTAGTGGAGACAAGGCAACTTTTTGGATTGCTAGTACACGTTCATAGTTTTCGCGAGCCTTTTTATAATTACCATTTTCACAATACGTTTCACCAATATTTGAGTAAGTAGTAGCGAGATCAGGATGATTCTCAGGAAGCTTCAACAATTGCAATTTGAGTGCTCGTTTCTCTAACCAATACAAAGCTTCTTTGAAATGACCTAAATCTGCATATGCCATACCCAGATTGTTGAAACTAACCGCAAGGTCAACATGATCTTTACTCAATAGAACTTCATCGATCGATATGGCTTGCACATAATGAAATATAGCTCCTTTGTAATCACCAAGTTCGCTTAGGATCATACCCAAGTTAGAGTGAAGATGACTGAGTGGTTTTGATATTGTTTTTTCATTATTGTCATGATCGAGCTTTGAATGAATCATTAAACTTTGTTCGCAAATACTTTTCGCGTCATGAAAATTACCTAATTCATACTCAATCAACGCGAGATGACCTTGAACTGCAATTAACTCATGTCCTTCAGGTAAATCGCGTAATATTAAATGGCAGAATTGCTTCGACCGTTCGAATTCACCCATTTGCTCAAGGAGAATACATAAAATAAAAAGTGGTTCATTTTCGTGAAAACTCATTTCAGAAAGATAATCATATAAACTTGTGTTCATTCCAGCAGAGAGATCGCTTATGTCGAGTAATGTCAGATTAACATACCATAAACCATCTGAATATTCATAAATATCCTCTATCCGAAATGTGCTACCGATATCGAAGAGTATTTCACCTTCATGCATGTTATAACTAACATCATGTATATCTGCGAAGGGCCACTTCCATGGTCCATGACCAGTGATATTGATCTCGTATAAGACTTTTTGTAAAAATGGTTCAGGAAAGACATCCGAAATAAATTCACATGCTACGGTGCTGTGAATAGTTGTTGAAAGAAATGCGTTAATAGAAAAAATTCCATGTATATTTGCTTGTAATTTATTTAATTCTTCCGCACATATGAGTTGACCGCGATAAACAGTTAATTGTACCGATGATTGGGTAGAATACTGCTTTTGATGAAGTTCGATTAGTCGTTGATGAAGATCTACGATGAGATAACGATACTTAAAAATAGTATCAATATTTCGAGTGCGAAGTGCTCGATTAATTAATCGATACAGGAAACAATCACGTGTGTACCACTGAACCACATTCTCTTTTGTGTACTCAGCACGAAACTGCTCGATTTTTCGTTTTTCGACGTCATTATTGCAATAACGCTTTATACATTCTTCAATAAATTCATGGAAAGCTTGTGATGTACGTGGTAATTTTAACATTGTGTCAATAAGTAATTGAAACCACATATAAATAGCTTGTTCTTGGTCAATGTTTTGTAGAGTAGTTTCTTTGAGATTTTGCATGGTAAATATATTAACAGGAGTGAAATGATGAAGTAAAAGTTGTATATCACGTTGAAGACGATCGAGCATTGCTTTGGATTCATTGAAAACACCACGGATTTTATGAAATTTCTTAGCCCATTCTTGATGTTTATATATGTCGATACAGAAAATATATATACAAGCAATTTGTATCAGTTCGTGAATCAACGGTAATGTTTGTTCACCAATTGAACCGGAGATGATGAGAAATACTTTATCTGCCTTGTCAAGAGAACTGATGTATTGTTGGCATTTTGAAAGATCTTCATATGTTTTCAGATGGTCAATTAAATGATCCAAATCAAGTTGACGATTAGCATAATCTGTTTGTTGAACGTTATGATTATCAAGCCATATTATCTGAAAATCGTTGGTCGAGAGTGTAGTTTCACATGAAATAGACATATAGCTTGGAATTCTCCAACAATAAAATAACTTTCATGGATAAAAGTCAATGTGCGTCTTCATAGACATGATTCTGTTCTTTGCTTTAAGAACGAACGCGTTTCTTTTGACGTAGTAGATGTCGTAAAGATACTGTTGACAATTGACAATTTTCGAAAGTTTTCTTTTTTCGATTTCTTGAGAATATACGTCAGTTAGACCCATTAAAATAATACATATTTCTAACAAAAGACCAGTGCACCCAGCAAGGTTTTGATATTCCATTTTCTGTTATCGTGATTTTTCCTATCGTTGATACAAAGTAAGAAAGTATTTGTATATATCAATAGTTATCTAAAGAACGTTTATAGTTAGGTGAGATATATCCGTTAAACGTTTCATCCTTAAATTTCGAAACTTCATTTTTTAGGTAAAAAGGTTTATTTTATCAGATATAAAACTTCCTAGTTACGAGGTATGTCTGATAGAATTAAGATAAGAAAGAAAATATGAAAATGTTCTTTTCAATATTAAAATGGACGAATAAATAAACGACCATTTCTCATTCTTTGTCTATATTTGAAATATTGATTACTTCCAATCATTCTGTTATAGAAGAGAAAATGACATTTCCATTGCTCATTCTGTATGAACAATCTCAAAGGAATACGTTGTTAATCGACATATATAAACATGATTTTTCAAATATTTATACTGTACGTTGATTTAATTTTGTTATTTTTACAAAGGTGAAAAGAGCATGGCAAAAGAAAAAGAGAAAAGTAAACTAAAAACGTTTGTATTTCTCGAATTTGACACAAAACAACATTTCTATCGAAAATTAAATCAAAATTCGATCATCGTTGGGTAAGATTATCAATTTTTCATTCAGTCCCATTGTCTTATCTCGAACTTAATTACCATAATACTAACGACTCGCGTTCAGGGAATCCTTCTACTAAGATCAAAAGAAAAAAAAAGTCTATTTTGAGGTAGATGAAAAATCCATAACCAAAATAAGCTTATCGATCGCGGCGAAATCTCTTCATATGATACCCAACGGCGTAAAAGAATCATTGTTCGAGTTTGTCAATGACAATCTTTTCTTTTTTTGCGTTTTTTTTTCTATAAGCATTACTATTCGTACTTGGTCTTGTACTTTCTCAACAAGCGCATGTTCTGTCTATGTCGATATTTATTTGCTTCACTGCGTCTTCTTCCTTTTCGTATTGACATGATTTTTTTTTTCTTTACATGATTACGAGCCGTCACTAGGCTCGACGATATCCGAGAATCATTCATTTGATATTCACTTTCTAGATGAGTAATGTTACTGATTCGTCTTCGATGATGAACGAAACGTTACTGACAAGTACAATGAAATCCAATGATGGTCAGGATAAAATTTTGATCATCGTGTTGTCTGTTGTTTTACCGACAGTGTTGTCACTTGGTTTATTGAGTTTATTTCTCGTTTGTTATCGACGACGATTAGCAAAATTGTGGTTAAAAAGGCATGGTAAGTTAAACTGATTTTTTTGGAAACAAATATTCGGTTGTTTTTCTTGTTTTGATGAATCAGACAATTCAAGTCGGTTGGAATCATTTGATTCGAGTGTTACGTCGAATTATGATCGGTCATCGTAGGTTCAATTGATTTCCGTTTTCTAATTGTGCTCTGTTGAAAACATTTTGAAAGAAAACAACGCATCTCTCATCGACAATTTCTTCATCCACGTACGGAAACGATCGTTTACAACCAAATTGTACGACAAAACCAGTTGTCTTATTCCGATCAAAACAAAATTTTCATTTAGAATTCTCCATCGATTCCAACTAAGAAAAGTCCACCAGAATGGTTACCAAAAGGTATGGCGCATATTCTTTGAAGGTGGTGCACAAACATCTTCATTATTCAGGTCAAACAAATGCTGCATTCGATGAATATATCATAGAGAATGAAGAACAGTCAATAACGGTAAATGTCTCTCAATCACCAACTGAAAAATATTTCTATTTGATTTAGTTCAATCAGAAACCTTTGCCGCAATCTCCTGTTCCAACTATAACATCAGAATTTGTTCAAGCTATTGCTACCCATCGTCTCTCTTTGAAAACCGAAGCGAATAAATCACCAAATCCGTCTCCGCCAACAGTCCTTTTATTTTCTCAGAGAACTCAATTTTAATAGAAAGAAGATTTGTATAGATTTTTTATTTAAAAATACAATTGTTAGCACAATCATTGACAAAAACAGCTACTTGTGGCGATTTCAATGTCAATATGCAAACTCGAAACAAATTTTCTTCTATTTCACTTAGACAAGTAAGAAGAAAAACAAAATAAAAGACAAATCCATGCCTGTCGCTTTCCAGGCGCTCTCGGATATTTCGTTCTCTCAATTTTAATTGGAATGAATTGTTTGTCGACATTGGATTTTTTCACAGAATATTAACTTTATCTTTCTCGGAGTTTTTTTGTATTGTTCTTAGAGAAAACTATTGCGTAAGTACCAACGCTGTGATAAGGAACATTGGCCACCTGTCTCTTTCATTAAAACAAACTTATATCGTGACTGGGTTTTTTTAAGAAAAACAAAGTTCACTAACGGTAAGAGGCGATATTTAAATACTTTGATTGTAAAGAGGAAGTATGAGTAGTTTTACTTGAGAAAGACATTCATGACCTAAAAGTTGGCCTATAACATTGTCATTTTAGGAAATTGATCGCTTTGCTAGAGAATGCCAAGATTCGGTCGTTCCCATTATCGAATACAAAAGCCATGGAAGCAGTACAGACCGAGATTGACAGTAAGTTACTTCAAATCGAACAACTGTCATTCATTATGTTTCTCATGTCGTTGGTTTAGTTTTTACCGGCTGTTGCATCGAATGCATCTCTGACAGTAACATCATTTATAAAACAATTTCATAATGATAACAAGTCGTCCGTTCCTAAATCTACAACTAAAGATGATTCAATTGTACATCATTTATTTCTTCCATGTCAGTTACCAAATTCAGCTGATTCTGATTATTTAATTGGTAATGAACATAAAAACGAATACAAATTATTAGAATCTTTCAACGAATTCATCGAATCATTGAAAGGGAAGTTTCATCACACAGTATTCACAGATTTGATCAGATATCTCAGACGATGGGCGTTTCTACAGGATCCGAATAAATTGTCTAATGTAAATCTACAAGAGACAATTGAACAATTAGTACCAGGAGATATTTTACCTTTATATCTTCATTATCAAAATGCAGCGATTCTTATTGAAATCGAGAATCATAGTGGTGTTGAACATACACTCATTTCCGCATGGCAAGTCCAATTATCGACAAAAAACATCACGTCTTCATTGCTGCCGCACTTTTCCTGCTTTCCTGTGCCAGTATATGAGTTACCTGACCGATCTGAGTTGCAGTCTAAAGCTCATTGTGAATTATTGATCGATTTGATGCAGAATCCGCTGGAGCACAACCAGACACATCGAGTTTCTGGCTTGTTTGATGAAACTCGAGATATTACAGTATCACATTATGTTACCGATTGGTGGATTAATCACTTTTCAGATGTTAAAAATGGCCATCGAAGCAATTCATTAATTTCATTCAACAAAAAACATCGCGATCAGATTCGATGGAGAGATGCTCTACTACCCTTTCGACGTTCCGGTTTATGGATGACGATGAAAACAGTGCTTCAAACTATTCTCATCAAACGCTTGGGAAAATTAGGAACAATCGTTTACAAATTCTTGATTACCTACTTTCTCACTTCTATTATTCATAAGCGACAAACGTCAATGACGAGCTCGAAACTGGATGTCGATCTACTAATGCATTGTTCGAGAAAAATTGTTCGACGGCTAAATAAAATTGATCATTTAAGATTCACTATCGAAAACAAAGATATCTTCGTTTGGGTCAATGCTGTTATCGAAGAGATAACTCTAAGACTAGGCGAAATTATTCCGAATAGCACCTGGCAGTTTTCTATTGAGAAAAGTAGATACACAAGAGGAAGATTATCGACTATGATGGTTGATGTGGATCGATTACAAACCTATCAACATTCATGTCAACAGTTAAAATCGTATCTAAGTGCGTCAACACAACATTTTTTACAACAACAATCTTCAATCAATTATGCACAGAACACATCGATGTTAAATGATCTACAAATTAATGATGAATTACCTTCCCCAGCAATTTTGACATATTCTTCCACAGATACTGATGACGCCGGTTTGATACTGATAGAAATTTGGATTGAAACTAGATTGCAACAATGGACACAGCGTTTGTTATTAGCTGAAAACGATAAAACACATTTTAAGAAACTATTAGAACTTTTCGAAGCATATCAAACAAAAGCACTCAAACATTATTCGAACGACCAGCAGCAGGCAGATGGCTTCGGGTATAGCCGATATATCCTTACTTCTTTGACTATCCTTCGTTGCATGCATGAAAAGTTATGTTCCGATCAAAGATTTCAACGATTATCGTTTCACGTCATTGAAATTCCTCATCTCATCGAACTGTTCGAATATTTAATTTTGCCTACTCAAGAAGATATGATCCGAGCTCGTCAACTTTACGATTACTTTCTAAAATTTACTCAGAAACCATATCCCGAACTGCTGAATGACATCGAACGAAGTGATGCATTTGGTGTTCATTATGCGAGTCAATCAGAAGAAATGAAACAAACACTTCGAGAAATTCAAGCTGAAGCGGAAAGAGATAAGCTAGCAAAACGGCAGGAGTTTATTGCAGCTAAACAAAGATATAATTCTTTGCAGGAAGCAGCAAAATCATTGGAATGCGAATGCGAGTTCGTTGAAGAATTCTTTCGAGGTCGACGTCGTCGTTATAAGCGGAAATGCCGACGATGTAAATTGATTGAAGAAGCGAATAGTATTCGCGTGGAGTATTACGAATGTCCCATACCTGAAAATGAGAAAAGTGCATTAGCAGTTGTTTTTGAACTACAAATGCCAATTGAGTTTCGATGTTATCGCGAGATTCTATGGCAATTCGTTAGTCGTCTTAATTCGAATGCTTCGTCTCATGGAATGCATGAATGGTTAAACTCTCGACCCCATTCTTCAAAACTATCCAAATTTTTAACTGATCGTTCGAATTGGAAGGTGAAGTTAGTCTCTTCGTGTAAATCGTTCAGTGAAACGCATTATTCACGACAATTTTCTTCATGGACATCAGTAGATGAATTTTTACAACCGAATCATCTCCAAGTACGAATCAATCATACAGAGTCGACTACATTTGAAAACGAATGCAGAATATTAACAGCTCAGCTAGAAGACCCAAATTACAAGCTTTTACAATTTACAATCGACAACACATGTCCACTTAAACAGAATAAAGTCATCACAGAATCAGTTCGATGTCCATTGGCACTTAGATCAACTGAATTCATCGAATTCGGGTCTTTTCGTTTAGGTCATCGTTTACAATGGTGGCACCTGTTAAGTGCTTTAGAACTTGATTCACTCTCATTCGATGAAGAAAGCGTGCTTCTTCTCATAACACATTCAATAACACAATACGGTCCGGTAACAGACGACACAAGTCATTTTAGTTATCCATGGTGTCCTGAATCTCATCTAGCACTACTCGATGATGATTTTCTTGACGAATTGCTTTTGAGACTTGATCGTCGTCTGGATGATTGCCGTTCAAATTGGCAAAACGAGTTGACATTTCTCCTAACGACGATAATAATCATGAGAATCTTAACAATCTGTAATGAAACAAAACACAAACGTCTAATAGAATTGGCATTGAAATGTCGTAAGATTGGTCAGTCATCAATCGGGAAAATCTCCAAAATTTTCCAAACGACCACCTCCATCAACATAGGTGAGATGCAAAAATTACGTGATAAAATCGTCATTATTGCTTCAGCATGTTTATTCACTTTCTCACTCTACCCGAAATTCCGTTCATTATCCGATTCCTCGGTCGTTTCATTACTCACAGCAACGACAGCCATTCATGATAATAATGCACTAAACAAAAATCCAACTCGTATGAGTATTTTCATGCGAAATTTAATGCGATGGAAGAACTATAATCTACTCAAACTCGGATCAACAATACTTGCTCGATATCTGCATGAATCGTCCTATCAAAGCTTACATCAATTTGCTGTGATACACTGGGGGCTTATAAAAACTATGCAAATCAGCAATGGACAATGGCAAAAACGTATGTCAAAAACCTTCGATGGCTGGTACGATGGTCAATATCAATCGATCAAAATATCTATTGATTGTTTACAAGGAAAGTTTTTAGTCAATGGCATGAGCATTGGTTTTCTACCTGGGGAAATTACATCGAGTGATTTATTCCGTCGAACATTTGGTGAACATGTTTTCGAAGTGCAACCGGGTGCATCACCGAATACCTATGTCACAAGACATGCCTATCATGATAATCAAATTTATTATGAATTTCGATCCAATCGTTCATTTTGTAATAACATAACTATTCGAGCAACGTATCGAACAGGTGAAGTCTTTCAATTAATACCGAAGACATATTTTCAAAGTGAATTCGCTACGAAATTTGTCGAAAATTATAGTCATTGGATCAATCAAACGACCAATGTTATTCAATTCCGTCCAATTCATTTCCAAGATGCTCAGTTTCTAACCCATATATCATACGTGTTAGATCTAAACAATGGATTTCTTATAAGAGAAAACATGAAAAAAATCCAAATTCTCATTAATCACACATCATCTGTTTTTCAAAACTTATTCAAACTGTACTTTCGTCGTCTCGACACAGAAGAATATATTTATATGTTCAGAGACGATGCTTATCCGATCTTGAGAACAAAACAAATGCCACTGAATTGTCATGTACACATTCATCTGCCTCGCTTAGGTCTCGCATTCGAATACGACGCTGCGAGAAAGAAGATTCTTTCTCGAGAGTATTCAGGTATGTACATTGCCGAAAATCAATGTTTTGAAACGTTAACGGGACTAAAAGCTGGACTTCTTCTCTCGCCTACTTTGAGTGGCGCAACCAATCGTAAACTTCTCGTTCCGTTTGGACAAGTTCAAGCGAAGAAAACCCTGTCCAGTGATCATCAATTTGTTTTTATCGACAGAGATGCAAAAATGTCATTTGCCCATCAATATTTCGTTTTTATTCTTAATGATCGTCTACGTATTCTCCAATCATCAGATAGTCCAACGGGTTGGCTATATCTGGCATTGTTACATGCGTTGACATCGCATACTTTACCTGATGTCTATACTGGAATGACGGGAATGGAACGCGCTTTTCAATTACTCTACTCTGCTGGTTGTTGGACTGATCAGCCTTTTGATTCACTTTCGCTCAACATCGCACATCAAATAGCGAAGATTTCTCCCAAAGTCCAATACTATCCATCACATCTGAAATGTATGAAAACGATCCAATGGAATGAACAAAGTATACCCTATTCGCTTCAACACTTCGGTTATTACTTGATAATAAAAAAACTAATCGTGGCTAGTGAACAATTAAGCTTCATGTATTCATCATCAGAGTCAGTGGCGAGTGCGCTCCCATCGAATAACATCGAGCTATTGGAGAAAATCTACATGGATTATCGAGATTCTTACAATCCAACAGCTCGACTATCCGACGAAATGGAGAAGGAAATCATCGTCGAACCCAAGTTGTTTTCTTATGAGCCGACGCCTGCTTTCGATTCCGACACAACAGACAACAGTATTTATCGTCTATCAGAAGATCTCTATAAGTCTGGAGATTTGAATCTAGACGATCCTTCTACCATACACTGCTTTCCTCTGAGAGAATGGATCAAAAGAAACGGTGATTTCAAGACGATCTTCGTTGGTCTTTTGAAATTACTCGAACGGGCGAAAATGCCTACAAACAACAATCGGTCGGATGAAATCGGTCGACTAGATATTCTCTTCAATTTTCTTCATTATATATCGAAGAAATGCTCAATCAGACCATTCTATTTAAACATGTTCAGAACACTCTTGAGAGATAATTCAATTATCTTAGTTTTACCCATCTTTCCTCCATTTGGTTCTTACAGAAAAATCGAACAAATCCAAGTCCATCGAGATTCAATAACACTGTATTCGGTCACTGATGAAGAAAAACGTGCGAAAATCTTCGCTGAAGTGGAGGAGTCTTTTCGACAGAATCTTCCTTACACTGATCAATTGAAATTGTTAGACAACGAGTATTCTAAGAACAGAATCAATGAATTATTCGCATTATGGCGATTGAATAAACAACTGCAAGACTTTATCAAACATATTGAGCAAATCATGGATTCGATCAAGTACACGTCGATCGTTCGAATCCGAATTGGTCAACTACAAATTACACGTGAAATAGATGATAAACATCATCAAATTCAAGTTCGATCAGCGAATTTACCGGTCGATCCATTATTATTGCTGGGTGCTCATCGAAAGTATTGTTGTCATTCTTCCGATAATCCACTTTGTTTAAAACAATCAACTAGAATTTTTGAAGACAAAAAGCCGTTTCCCGAACAGATTTTTTCATCGACTAGTTCAGATGAGAATCATCTTAGTGACATAACCAAGTTCTTCAAGCAACAACTGCGGACAAGTTGGCAAAAATTTCAGTCTGAGGAAAGATTTCAATGTGAGCATCTATCCATAAGCGAAATGGAGAGATTTCTGTGTTCGACTCGTCAAGAATCTGCTCAACTGTGGAAGGAATTGATTCGATTGATCAGAACAAACAATGAACTATTGTTCGATACTGGTTTAGCGTTGCGTATGACTCCATCCGTTCTCGTGTCTCTCCTCCATGAAATATGGTTAAATGAAGATGAACACAAACATGATAAACCATCCAATTCTGCAAAAAAGCAAAAGGTTCAACAATCTGAAAGAGAAGCATTTCTAACACCGGAACGATGTATCTTATTAGGTGGAATATTGGTCAACTGGACTGTTGAACAGCGTCTTCAACGAATAATCCATTGTGCCAATCAAAAACAAAAGGAAGATTTCGAGAAAGAAGCATTGAATATTCCACATGTAAATTGGATTCCTTCAGAACATGTTCCATGGTTGATTTTAGAATTGGAAATGAACATCACTATTCGCGATATTCAAGTTAAAGTGGCACGTCATATGATGGATCCAAATCGACTCGATGGTGAAGATAATCAAGTGAGAAATATCGTCATGCAAATGAATATGGGCGAAGGAAAAACCTCAGTTATTATTCCCATGTTAGCACTTAGTTTGTGCTCATCAACATCGAGTTTAGTTCGAATCATAGTTCTCAAATCTTTGTTGACTATGAATTATCAATCGTTGAGATCCAAATTGGGCGGTCTCCTCAATAGACGAGTTTTTCCATTTACATGTCGTCGCGATATGAAATTCGGTCAAACACAAGTCGAACAACTTGATCGACGTCTTCGGCAAGGTATGAGCAGACGAGATATTGTCTTAACCGCACCAGAATATATCCTTTCATTCGACTTATTAACTATCGATAAATGCCGACGACAAGAATTTACAGTTGGGGAAGAAATGTTAAGAGTTCAGCAATGGACTAAACGATGTGTTCGTGATGTTTTGGACGAATCCGATGAAATTCTTCATGTTAAGTATCAACTCATTTATACGATTGGACAGCAGAAACCAGTTAGCGGCGGAGCTCAACGTTGGAAGACGATTCAATTGGCCTTAGAATTGGTAAAGAAAAACGCAGAGCTTATTGCACAAGACTATCCAAAAGACGTTCTCTACGAAAAATCGTTACGGTCAAGTCATTTTTCGTCATTTCGATTGTTATCACGAGAACCGTTTCGAAACTTAGCAGAAAGAGTAGTCAATGATTGGCTTAACGAGCAATCCTATCGTCAGGAAGAACGTCAACTTCTATCCTCGGTCATTTTAGAAAGCACTACGTCGACTGAATGCCTTCAGGGCCGATTTTCACAGGAGATTCTTCAACGAATACTTATTTTACGCGGCCTCCTTTCGTCTGAAGTATTGTTTCAAGCATTGACCAAACGTTACCGAGTGAATTTCGGTGTCAATCACGATCGGAAATTCAATCGTCTCATGGCTGTACCATTCCGTGCCAAAGATGTGGCAGCCGAGAATACAGAATTTGGTCATCCCGATATTGCCATTGTCTTAACTCAACTCTATTACTATTACGACGGATTAACTAATGATCAGCTGTCAAAGTGTTTCAAACGTTTGAGCGACGTAGAGAAGCACCCCGAAGAAATCTATCATGAATGGATTTTGTATGAAAATGGCGATTGTCTCGATCCGAGTATCAAAACATGGGAAGGAATCAATTTAAAAGATGATCAACAAAGGACTCTTCATCTTTTCCCAACTTTTCGGAAAAATATGTTGGTGATCAATTATTTTCTCAATCATTTTGTTTTCCCTCAAGAGGCGAAACAGTATCCCGAAAAACTAGTCTCTTCTTCTTGGGATCTATCCACGGACCGTCGTGCAAAGATTCTGACTGGTTTCAGTGGCACTAATGATACACAACTGTTGTTACCCATCCATATTCGTCAACACGACCTACCCGAACTGATGAAAACTGATGCCGTTGTTCTCAACAATCTACTTCGACAGGAAAATGAATTTTATCAGTCTCTACCAATTAGTATCAAAGTTAAAGATATCTTAGAGAAAATCTGCAGTGATCAACAGCGCATTCAAGTCGTTCTTGATGTTGGTGCGCTCTTCATCAATGGTAGTAACCGCCAAATAGCAATTCAATGGTTAGGAAAGTCAAATCGAGCTGAAATAGATTATGCTGTTTATTTCCAATCTGACTCACTTTATGTTTGTGATCGACAAAATCAGCATCACCCTTTCGCCAACTCTCCAGCGAGTGAAAGACTTGAACGTTGTGTTTTTTACCTGGATGAAGTTCACACACGAGGAACGGATTTCAAATTTCCAAAAGGATTTCGGGCAGTTGTTACACTTGGCAATGGTTCAACCAAAGATCGATTCGTTCAAGCTTGTATGAGAATGAGGAAACTAGGTCATGGCCACTCGCTCAGTTTTTATAGTTCACACGAAGTTGATCAACGAATTCGTCTGTTGAAAAAGACCACCGATGAGAACGAATCTATCACGTTGATTGACGTTCTCCGTTGGGTCTATGAGAATATTCAACAAGCCGTTTGGAATGGTCTTCATCATTGGGCTGCACAGAGTCTCAGTTATCAACGAAAACTCGCTGCATTTCGAAATATTCAATGGGTCGACGAACAGAAATACTTTTCTCCATTGATTATGCATCAATTTCCTTTAGATTGCATAGAACAAGAAGTTCTCGAGCTACACCAAATGTACGGAATGTCAAAATCAATGCAGAAGATAGCTGATATCCATCGTTCTCGTTCTCATCAAGTTAGTTTTCAACTGTCACCTGAGATCAATACACTTGTCCTAAGTCGGTTGAATTTATACGGTGGATCGAGAACATTTCTTGCTCATACATGCGATGAGGAACAAGAACGAGAGTTCGAACGAGAAATCGAACAAGAAGTTGAAGAAGAACGACAACAGGAACGACCAACACCACCAGTACCGCATCGACCAATCTTACATGAAGAAATCAAGAAATTAGCTGATCAACAAAATCCTATGATGAACTTAGCTCAACTTTCATCAGTATTCTGTTCACTTCCACAAGCTTTTCTTGCTACTACCTTTGCGTCACATAGCCAGCCATCGGCTTGGAAACAACACTTATGGATATCTAAGGAATTTCAAAGCGTGATTAAAACACGAGGAGAATCGTTGGATGCATTTCTGCGACATCCACGGTGGATAGTTGTCTATCGTCAGAAACATATCATCTTTCTCAGTCCATACGAAGCTAATTGCTTGATCGATTTACTTCAGCACTCATATCAACAATGTGGAATTGCTTCTCAACCTACAACAACTCTACGTCTGTTTTTACCACGATTGAAAAGAAATCAGTCAATCTTAATCAATACATCAACTTTGTCTGTCCCTTCATCATCTTTTTCTGTTCCGAAAGACTGGTTGGCACCATTGTTTGTTTTTAATGGTACTCTTTACTTCAGCGATGTCGAAGAACAAAGAGACTACTGTCATTTCTTAGGCATTTGTCCAAATCCTCGATTGGAGAAGGACGAGCAGAACGCTTTTGAGAAAGGTTGGATCGATAATGATGGATTTATCCAAAACTCGGAACATCGTCGTCATCTGCAAATGAACCAATGCCATTTTACTTATAATCCACTAAATTTAGTTAGAAAAATTCTCGAGAATCGATTAAAATGCCATATTCCCGTTAGATCACATGTTGGATCACTTATTCTCAATGCAAAGAAAGTTTTGGTTTAATTTTGAACAGTAACTTTGTGATGTCGAGTTTTTTCGATTTCATCTTTTTTATTTGAATAATAATCACGAAAACACATAGCCATTGATTGAACTTATTACTTTGTCTGTACGGCGTAGCGCTTGTTGTCAGGCATGTATTTAAACGTGATGACTATGTCGAACGTAACTAGAATAATCATCTCTAATTTCAAGCTTTCACAATGGAATATTTTTCTCATCAATCCTGAGTAGAAAGAACTTTTGTTACCGCACGGTACGCTACATTATTATCGACTCTAAATAAATTTTATTTCGAATGAAGTTATTGGCAACTTTCAGTTGAACTTAGAAATACATTTCAACGAACGAAAACAAACTTCTATGTTATTAGTTGACAGTTCTCACTTGTCAATAGCTATGTTTTTGAACAATAGTAAAGGCCACCGTTTGTCGTCCTGGCCGGAGTATAGTCACGTGGACACAGCTGAGTGTTGTTATTACCACAAGAAATAAATGGACTTGCATAACCACACGCTGTGCCAGAAGCGTCATCTATATCAGCGTCGTCTTTGTAGCATAAAACTGCATTTTTCTCAAAACGATAACCGTGTGGGCAACCTTCGTTTAAAATATGCTTTCCTCCACAATATTTATGAATTTTTATCTGTCCGTAGTTTGTAACAGGTACAGACTTGTCCTGCTTTGAACACTAAAGAAAGATAAATCAAGACTATCATAACAGTTCGATTTGAGATGACGAAAACTTACGATAGTCGTCAAAACATAATGAAGAATATCCATCAGGACAACTACGAAGTGGGTGATGACCGTCACAAGCAATTTGACCGTTTTTATTGAACACAAAACCACATGACACACCTCTTGGCACATCCAATGGAATATTGCTTGAACAATCTACGCTTACAATTTAATCGAAGACATAATAATAATCATACCATAATTAAGTCGATTGAACTAACATACACACATAGGAAATCTCATAAACTATACTTAATATACTCTATGTATTGAGAACACTATATTTTTCTCTTTTTACTTCATCAACTCACCAGTATACATGGATTTGCATACACAATATGGTATATTGAGATCACCCCATTTACAAGTACCTCTAGCTGATCCGGAACAATTGCGAGGACAACCCTTCAATTTTAAACCTTTCGTGTAATCATTTAAAGCTAGAGTCATTCGGAAATCTACGCGATGTTATCAAATCCGATATATATTTAACCTTAAACTTCATCATGCTCGGATTATTCGGTACTGTTTCGATCCAGTTAGCTAAGGGTCCAGAGACCAAAGCTGGGTCACCACCCAGTTGTGACATCTTCGTCGACGTCAGGTTTTTACGAAACTCCTCTTGTGTAGTTGTGGTAGAATTTGATATAGTAGTAATACTACCAAGCAATTTAAAAACATAACCAGGTGATACACAATGCTGAGTTTGTAAGCCTCGAGTTTTGAGTTCGGTGAGTCGTTCAGAATCTATGGTAATAATCTCTTGAGCAGTACCACCCAGTAACATTTCACTCACAAATGAAAAACCGAAATAATCGAAAATATACGATATGATATAGTCCTTTATATCATTATCATAACTGCAACAAGGCATGTGTTCAATCACGAAACGAAAACTGTCGGATAACTGCATCATTGGTTCCAACATAGTAAGCTTAGCGAATGTGATATTTGCTGTTGTATGAAATATCGACTGTCTCTTTTCAATAAGTGTTTCAGCCAAATATGTTGTTTGTCTGGAATATCCATAAGAAGCAAAGAATCCTTCTAGTTTCCCCCAACCGTATATTGTAGCACTTGTACTTATCGCATTGAAAGTCGATTGTCGTAATTGAGATATTGAGCTTAATTCTTCAGTATGTGCATTAATTGCCACACTCGGTAAACACAAAAGTTGTGTATAAGCAGGTACTGTGAGATTTGTACATGCACCTGGCTTCCATGAAGTATACTCAAGATTAAATACTGAATGTTTGAAACCATCCATGTGACAATCTCCAGTATAACAGACAGGTGATCCTTGTATTGGATCATAGCCTATTCCAATTAAATTCGAATTTGGCATCCAATGAAGATTGCGATAAGCTTTTGTACTGTTGTGTAGGTAACTTTCAACAAATGCTCTCAGCCTAGCATATTCAGGATAAGCAAACAACAAAAATGGACATAAACTAAGGTAATACAAAAACAACATCACCGTATGCATTCTTTTTCGGTCATGTAAACACAATATTCTGTTTTTATACTTTATGAATACTAAAACCATATGTGTGATTTCACAGACACTTTTGCACGATTCTACTCGATGATAGCTTTTTTCGTCACTTGCAAAAATTAGATAGTCCAAGTGCTCTTTTTCTCATAATACGTGAGTCACTATAAAAAATTTTTCACACGGTTCTCCCAAAAATTTTCGGCGAAGACTAACTTTACCACTATGAAACACAGATATATTTAGGATTAGCGCTTTGTTTTATAATCTAAAACTGTTTGTGTGCCCTGTTTTCGATCCTTCAATGAGTTGTTTTCGAAAAATAAATTCCGTCACACGACGCAGCGCGTGAAGCTCTGCAAGTTGAATACGAGTAAGGTGGACGGACTATTCGTCGCACGATTACTCGTGTAATTCATTTGTTGTAAAAAGATGCACGATGTTTAATGAAACAGATTCAAGAAAAACACAACTAAATATGTCATACTTCTGATTAAAATAGTATCAGATACTAGTGCCTTTTTATGAAAAACGGATCCTATCAGAAATGTACAAGGTTTCATAGTATATTCTGTACACTAAAACGCTGAAATACTAACTGAAAGCGTATTCTAATGAAAATCTTCATTGGGAAGTAAAACTCATTTTATATAACAATCCGTATTTTCAGCTAATTTGTATTTGACGAAATTCTTCTAGATTTTCACTAACAAGAAGAGATTCTTTTGAAAAATCAGTTAAATATTTGCTAAATGAACTATGATAAAAGTCACTCACTACTTTATAGAACCTTTTCAGTCAGAGTTTCTCCGACTTTCTAGTTGGTTCACGAGATTCGAAAATTTCACCAACAGTTAGGTTGCACTCAATGTCACACTAACGAGATTGTTGGTGATAGTGTGATTTTCCTATTCATCGAATTATGCAAATAACACTGCCAATTAATAATATTATTTTGGCGCCGTATTGTCCTAGTGCCTAAAATAATGACAAAGACAACCTTCACTTCATATGTGCCCGATGTTTTTTTCCTTTGTCATATTCTATGAAATCAACAATCTTCCTCAATAGTACTTTTACTCATAAAACGACGTTTTTTCCCTTGTTTGAATATATTTTTATTATTATACTAAGATCTAATTTATCTACGAACAATTATCAACTAGTATATCTCTAATCATATACATCTCAATTTGTCAGTTCAGACGCTTAATATAACTACTGGGTAGTTCAGACGATGCACAGGCAATGATTGATTCGTCGTTTGCTCGGCAATCCTCCACAAACATAATTTGAGCAAATTCATCAATAACTTCTATTGGATATGTTGGTCCACAATCACGATATCGACGCATTTCATCGAGATGATCATTTTGAAAACATACCGTCTTCTGCGGTTCATTCATAACCCATCGAGGAAAGAAAATTGTACCATGAAGATGACGTTCATTCAAATTAATTGACAAACTAACCGATGTGCCAGTAGGTTCAGTCCATGAAAGTTTGAAAATTTCTTCCGTTGATGATAATTTTACTAAATGAACTTGTTGGTCTTTCACCCATCGACCACCGACGATGCCTGAATGTATTCGATAATCAATCGTGTGATCATTTTTAACGTATATTTCATATTGCCATCCATTATCATACTTGTATATAAGATGTTTTCCAACAATATTACTCACTGATTCGCTCATCATGAAGGAAAATGATCAAACTAAAATAGAATCAAACAGAGATAGAATAAGATACACTTTAACTTGTCCTCTCTGTTATGCTTTTCGTTTCAATTGAAAGATAGAATGAATACAATGCTCTTCTCTCTCTCTGGATATCGTGTGGACTCGTCGGAAAAGTGAAGAGAACGTAAGAAGAACGCATGATACTGAGGATAAGGCGAACTTTCATGAATATATCGATCAAAGTATGATAACAAAGTGTGACTCATTTATCAAATATATCTTTTACGTTCTTTCTAAACTATTTGCATGTTTTGTCGATAAGAAAACGACTGTTTGTTGGTTGCTTCATACATTTCGTAAAAAATATGTTGACTTCTCTCGCTGTTATCGGATGCATTTCATTTGTTCTATATCGTTTAATAAAATTCTGGATACTTGATCCGTGGTCTATTCATCGATATTTTTGGAAACAAGGCATCCCGGGACAATATACACCAATCGTTGGCAGTCTTCTCGATCGTCGTCGAGCATTTCTTGCTGATGATCCATTGTCACATGGTAGAAAATTAGCAGAAAAATACGGTGATTATTATCATAATTCATTTGGTCCAAAAGCTCATCTTGTCATAAGTGATCCATTGTTAATCGAAGGAGTTGCGAAGGCAAATGTCTATTCGTATCATAAATCGGCAGTAGGACAGACGATCCTTGCATCATTACTTGGCTATGGAAATATTCTATTGGCCGAAGGTGATGATCACAAGCGACATCGACGATTGGTTGCACCTGTCTTTCAACATCAGAATATCAATTCAATGCTTTCTCTCATGGCACAGATAACGAATCGTTTCCTAGAAAAATGGACAACATTAAGTGAAAATCGAGCTACAGATGACCCGTTGACACTTGATATTCATGAAGAACTGTCAGGACTTACATTAGATATTGTAATTGGATGTATTTTCGGTGCAGAGACTATGGAAGATAAGAATGTTCATGGAATTATCTTTCGAAACATGAATATAGCTTTGAAGGAGATGGAGAAACGAATATTTAATATGATTGGTTTACTTCCAATAGTTAAGGATTTGCCATTAGCTGGAAAACGACGTATTGATCAAGCGAGACAAGAGATTCAACAGGTTGTTCAAAATATAATCAATCAACGATTGAAAGGATTGACAAAATCGACATGTAAAGGTTCAGACTTACTCGATCTTCTTCTGGCATCGAAAGGTGATGAAAAAACACAAAAGCTTTCTCAAGAAGAAATTTCCAATGAGGCAATTACATTTGGTAATATTCTCTTCATTCGAAATCTTTCTCTCTAATCTCTTACATAGTTCTTGCTGGACATGAAACAACATCAACACTAATGGCATGGACACTTTATAATTTAGCAAATCATCCTAACAGTTATCAACAATGTCAAGCTGAAGTTGATTCGATTCTTCTTAATGACGAACTAAATATCTCCACTATTTCTCTATTGACTTATACAGAAATGGTCTTGAAAGAATCATTACGGACTCATCAACCTGTGGCAGTTATGCTTCGTACAGCCGTTGAAGATAATACAATCGTAGCAAGCGATGGAAAACCAATTCACATAAGAAAAGGAACTGATATTGAAATTAATTTGAATGTTTTACATCGATCGGAAAAATATTGGCACGAACCGAATAAGTTTAATCCATCGAGATTCGAGGAACGTGGTGCAGATAAGTTATTAGCTTTTAATATAGGACCTCGATCTTGTATTGGTCAGAATTTTGCGATGTTAGAAGCCAAAATTATGTTAGCATTGATTATCAAACATTTTCATTTTGAGCTTGTACCTGGACAAAAATTTACACCTGATGTGGCCGTTACAATTAGGTTAGTTATATCAAATAGTTCTTTTTTCTTCATCTTTCTATATATTTAGACCGAAATATGGTATGTGGATGCGCATTTGGCCGCGTAAGTAATCATCGAACTAACGTTTCGTGTCATTTTTCTATTGAGACATAAATAAATATTTTCTCGTTTGAGAACTCAGTTCAGAAGTACCAATTACGTACAGATAGTCTCAAGATTTAAAAAANGACATCGGACTCAACTTTCCTTGTAGTACATTTACTAGACAAATACATCGTTAAATCACTAAAAATTATTATGCAAAACAAGCAAATTTAATGGTTGATTAGCACTAAATCTTTTACTGATTATAAATCAATTCATACTGATCAAAAGCGATTTTTTACTGACTAAAAATAACGAACTGACCATTTACAAAAATACTGACCATTTACAATAAAATACTGACCATTTAATTTGTACCCATTAAAATAGTATCAGATACTAGTGCTTTTTTTATGAAAAACGGATCCTATCAGAAATGTACAAGGTTTCATAGTATATTCTGTACACTAAAACGCTGAAATACTAACTGAAAGCGTGTTCTAATCAAAATCTTCATTGGGAAGTACAACTCATTTTGTATAACAACCTGTATTTTCAGCTAATTTGTATTTGACGAAATCCTTCTAGACTTTCACTAACAAGACGAGATTTTTTCGAAAAATCAGTTAAATATTTGCTAAATGAACTATGATAAAAGTCACTCACTACTTTATAGAACCTTTTCAGTCAGAGTTTCTCCGACTTTCTAGCTGATTCACGAGATTCAAAAATTTCACCAACAGTTAGGTTGCACTCAGTGTCACACTAACGAGATTGTGGGTGATAGTGTGATTTTCCTATTCATCGAATTATGCATATAACACTGCCAATTAATAATATTATTTTAGCGACGTATTGTCCTAAAATCAACAATCTTCCTCAATAGTACTTTTACTCATAAAACGACGTTTTTCCCCTATGTTTAAATACATTTTTTTATTACACTTCGATCTAAGTTATGTATGAACAATCATCAAATAGTATAACTCTAATCATATGAATCTCAATTTGTCAGTTCAGACGTTTAATATAACTACTGGGTAATTCAGACGATGCACAGGCAATGATTGTTTCGTCGTTTGCTCGGCAATCTTCCACAAACATAATTTGAGCAAATTCATCAATAACTTCTATTGGATATGTTGGTCCACAGTCACGATATCGACACATTTCATCGAGATGATCATTTTGAAAACATATCGTTTTCTGCGGTTCATTCATAACCCATCGAGGAAAGAAAATTGTTCCATGAAGACGACGTTCATTCAAATTGATCGACAAACTAACCGATGTACCAGTAGGTTCAGTCCATGAAAGTTTGAAAATATCTTCCGCTGATGATAATTTTACTAAATGAACTTCTTGGTCTTTCACCCATCGACCACCAACGATACCTGAATGTATTCGATAGTCAATCGTGTGATCGTTTTTAACGTATATTTCATATTGCCATCCGTTATCGTACTTGTATATAAGGTGTTTTCCAACAATATTGCTCACTGATTCGCTCATCATGAAGGAAAATGTTTAAGCTAAAATAGAATCACATAGAGATAGAATAAGATGTACTTTAACTTGACCTCTCTGCTATGCTTCTCGTTTCAATTGAAAGATAGAATGAATACAATGATCTTCTCTCTCTATATATATCTTGTGGGTTCGTCGGAAAAGTAAAGAGAACGTACGAAGAACGCATGATACCCAGGATAAGGCGAACTTTCATGAATATATTGATCAAAGGGCGATAACAAAGTGTGACTCATTTATCGAATGTATCTTTTACGTTCTTCTTAGCCCATTCGCATGTTTTGTCGATAAGAAAACGACAGTTGGTTGCTTCATACATTTCGTAAAAAACATGTTGACTTATCTCGTTGTTATCGGGTGCATTTCATTTGTTCTATATCGTTTAATAAAGTTCTGGGTACTTGATCCGTGGTCTATTCATCGATATTTTTGGAAACAAGGCATCCCGGGACAATATACACCAATCGTCGGCAGTCTTCTCGAACGTCGTCGAGCATTTCTTGCTGATGATCCATTGTCACATGGTAGAAGATTAGCGGAAAAATACGGTGATTATTATCATAGTTCATTTGGACCAAAAGCTCATCTTGTCATAAGTGATCCATCATTAATCGAAGGAGTTGCGAAGGCAAATGCCTATTCGTATCATAAATCGGCAGTAGGACAGACAATTCTTGCATCATTACTTGGCTATGGAAATATTCTATTGGCCGAAGGTGATGATCACAAGCGACATCGACGACTGGTTGCGCCTGTCTTTCAGCATCAGAATATCAATTCGATGTTTTCCCTGATGGCACAGATAACGAATCGTTTCTTGGAAAAATGGACAATATTAAGTGAAAATCGAGCTACAGACGACCCATTGACACTTGATATTCATGAAGAATTGTCAGGACTTACGTTAGATATTGTAATTGGATGTATTTTCGGTGCAGAGACTATGGAAGATAAGAATGTTCATGGGATTATCTTTCAAAATATGAATATAGCTTTGAAGGAGATGGAGAAACGAATATTTAATATGATTGGTTTACTTCCAATAGTTAAGGATTTGCCATTAGCTGGAAAACAACGTATCGATCAAGCGAGACAAGAGATTCAACAGGTTGTTCAAAACATAATCAATCAACGATTGAAAGGGTTGACAAAATCGACTTGTAAAGGTTCAGACTTACTCGATCTTCTTCTGGCATCGAAAGGTGATGAAAAAACGCAAAAATTTTCTCAACAAGAAATTTCCAATGAGGCGATCACATTCGGTAATATTCTCTTCATTCGAAATCTTTCTCTCTTATCTCTTACATAGTTCTTGCTGGACATGAAACAACATCAACGCTGATGGCATGGACACTTTATAATTTAGCAAATCATCCTGACAGTTATCAGCAATGTCAAACAGAAGTTGATTCGATTCTTCTCAATGACGAACTAAATATCTCCACTATTTCCCTATTGACTTATACAGAAATGGTCTTGAAAGAATCATTACGGACTCATCAACCTGTGCCAGTTATGCTTCGCACAGCAGTTGAAGATAATACAATCGTAGCAAGTGATGGAAAACAAATTCACATAAGAAAAGGAACTGATATTGAAATTAATTTGAATGTTTTACATCGATCGGAAAAATATTGGCACGAACCGAATAAGTTTAATCCATCGAGATTCGAGGAACGTAGTGCAGATAAGTTATTAGCTTTTAATATAGGACCTCGATCGTGTATTGGTCAGAATTTTGCGATGTTAGAAGCCAAAATTATGTTAGCATTGATTATCAAACATTTTCATTTTGAGCTTGTGCCTGGACAGAAATTTACACCTGATGTGGCCGTTACCATTAGGTTAGTTATATCAAATAGTTCTTTTTTCTTCATCTTTCTATATATTTAGACCGAAATATGGTATGTGGATGCGCATTTGGCCTCGTAAATAATCATCGAACTATCGTTTCGTGTCATTTTTCTATTGAGACGTAAATAAATATTCACTCGTTTGAGAAGTCAGTTCAGAAGTACTAATTACGTACTGATAGTCTCAGGATTTTCAAAAAAATATACACTGGAAAAACGTTGCTGACAGAATCCATTTTTCTTATGTCTTTTTGCTACGTTCGTCCAGATGAGAAACTCGATCATGGTATGATTTGTATTTTGGAAGTGTTCTCCGATGTATTTGACCTTTGTCGGCCGGCCTTTTCAGAATCGGTGCTGGCGGACGAACAGGTTTTCTTGAAAAGTACATTAGAAGAATTTTACGAACATAGGGAAGATAATTTTACTTCGGAGAATAGGATTTTCTTGTTATTTGCTCTTCATCTGAATGTACCGGTGAATAGATTCGTATCGAATTCCTATGGAAAATTCGAATAATTTCAAACGAGAAAGATGAAATATTGATCTACCTGTTTGAAAATGGAACTGTCGCTGTTATTTGTCTTCGAATAAATCATCAGGATATCTAGTTTCATCAATAACATGAACAAGATTGTCGCCATTTAGTTTTTCAGTCAAAATTCGAATATTTGGCTGATCAATTTCGTGTTCTGCTTGTTCAATTCTTTCTAATTCTTCTGTAATATTATCTATTAGTCGATATTCTATTTGATCTTCTTTCAACAAAGCGCGAAGTCGTAGACGCAACTGTTTGATTGATTCCAAATTATTCGCTGCTCTTTCAATAATCTGATTTCGATGTTTTTCCACCATAATATTGATTTCTTTTTGCACCTGTTCATAAACATCATCAATCTGTTGATAACAACTGACCTTCCATTGATCTAATTGTTCGCGAATATCATTCAGATAATCCAATGTGACCATTGTTTGATTTTTGTCAATTTGATGAAAATGTTCGTACATTGTGTTCTTTTGAGGGTGTGGGTGAGGGTTTTATCGTATGTTTCATTTCTGTCGCGTTTGTACTATGCGTCTGAAACGTGTTTACATTCGCAAACTTTTCACATGTGATGGATTGTTATTCTTACATTCTAAACTGCACCACCCTCACTCTTTTTTCTTTAATTGTTTCGAATACTTATGCCCTTTACATTTTAGTAGTTCAACTTTTTTTTTCTTCGATATTTTTATACTTCGACATTGTTATGCTTCGATATTTTCCGTTGGATTTTTCTACATTCGACATTTTTACTTTCGGTCTTAGTTGAGTGAATCGTTTTTAAAAGATTTTATAGAAAACTAATCAGTTTGGTCGGTATGATCATAGAGAGCGAATGAAACTCCTTCAAATACAAATCAATGAAAAAGTAAAGTCTGAGTTTCAAAATAAACGTTTTTTTATCAGGGAGTTTTGGTGAATGTATTGGTTTTCGAATTGAATATTAATGTCAATGTCGGACTGATTGTGCTTTCTGAGCCCACAGGCACAGCATTTGCCGTGTTAGCGGCGTATTGCATGAAAGATCCAGTGGAAGACTCTAAAGATTAAGAGAAAAATATCGTCGACTAATTAGTAAGAAGTCACTCACCCTGAACCCCAATAGTGGCGTATGCTCCTCCATCATCAGCCTGAAAGTATCGAATGGTAACAATACCCAGAGAATTTTCATCGAAGATAACTTGAACAGCAGTGTTCAGATTTCTCTGAAAAGAAATTTCGGAAATTACAGAAATTACCTATTAGTATTATTCACTAGTTCCAGATAACATAACATAGCTAAACGCAAAAACACTTCCAATAACAAAAGTAAAGTAGAAATTTCGGTAATTTCAGAAATTTCAATGATAGTTCATGAAGAATATTCATTTATCCAGAGAGACGAAGGGTCAGATTCAGTAGAAGTTTCGGAAATTTCAGAAATTTCAATGAAAGTTCATGAGAAATATTCATTTATCTGGAGAGGACGAGGGTAAGATTCAATAGGAATTTTTGAAATTACCGAAATTTCCGAAATTTCTACTGAATCTGACCCTTCGTCTCTCTGGATAAATGAATATTTCTCATGAACTATCATTGAAATTTCTGAAATTACAGAAATTTCTTCTGAATCTGACCCTTCGTCTCTCTAGATAAATGAATATTCTTCATGAACTATCATTGAAATTTCTGAAATTACCGAAATTTCTACTTTACTTTTGTTATTGGAAGTGTTTTTGCGTTTAGCTATGTTATGTTATCTGGAACTAGTGAATAATACTAATAGGTAATTTCCGAAATTTCTTTTCAGAGAAATCTGAACATACCTCAACTTGAAAACGATAAAGCTGCGAACTGCGTGAAGCGTAGTATTCAATAGTGAACTGTCGATTTGGAACTCCTCCAGTTGTCGAATAATAGATGCCTTGTGATGTTGTGCCATGTGCAAGATATAGATCATCCCAGAACGCAAAAATCGTTGCGTTGGAAAAGGAGCTACTTGGCAAGTTTGTGTTAAGATAGTCCATTGAGCATCCACCAAAACACACAACCTACGAGAAAAATTTTATGTAGCAAGAGAGTTTCCTCTATAAATTAGAATCACAATGTAGAAACATATGAAATCGAAGTATATGAGAGTGAAACATCAATCATACAGTCGGAAAACGAGTCGAAAAAAGTACGAAAATGCCTCATGTACTGATGCAGCTTTGTAAAGAAAGTATCTTACTTTTTTTAGATAGTTACATAAGCATCTGAGACATATTTGCACAGTTCTTTACGCATTCCTCAATTAAACAGCCCAGAAATTTTCAGAATGTAGAATAATAGTCGAAATATTAACGCCCTAAATATGTATTGTGTATCTGACTCTTTCGATGGCTCAATATCAGAAACCAATGAAGTCGTTTATCTTTGGTAGGATTATATGATATTGTAGGACTATGTTCTACAATCCTCGAATTTTTGACTACGCGACTGTTTTCCAAGCATATGGAAAATGAAAACTACTACCGGTTTTGCTTGTGGAAGCATAAAATGTAATAGAATTTGGCACAAACGAAGCTCAAGAGAAAAACTACAAATTTTGAGGTTGCAAGGATACGAGCTTTCCTCCTTGAGAGTATCTAAAATGCGTTTTGAGTCTTGATGAACTGTTAGAATGTGGATATATTAATCTGGAAATGAAATTAATACTTACTCCATTGCTTGACAACGTAAGAGTAAATGTTCGATAGTTGTAAAATTCCACGTAGAAGGGCAAAGTAATGCTCGTTGTTTGGTCATCTACAGTGCCGGTATCGCCCCAACTTGAAATTATCATTGGATCCTGTAATACTACAGGTGGTATAGTGGTGCTACAAATGCCATTTGAACAGCTGATGTCGCTTCCTGAGCACACAACGCCGATCCCACCGCAATTATTGAAATTCACTCTAGTGTTAACACATGTACCCGACGCAGATGGTTGAGAATCTGTAGGACAACTTATTTGTACTAAAAAAGCAAAAGATTGATTAGCCGCTGTAATAACAGCAATATATTCGTTCATATTTACTCACTAGCACATGTTGGTCCTGCCAATCCCAAGAGACATTGACAAACTCCAGCTGCAATGCATGTACCACCATTTAGACAGGGCGAGTGGCAAGTGGCTAAATACAAAATACGACGAAGTTTTAAGTTGTGGAACAGGTCATCTCATGGATCATTTGAGGATGTCATTCATAGAAAGAAGATTTTTCTCCTTCTCGTTCCACTCTTTCACATTGTATGGTTCCTCATCTGCACACTTTCAATTATGTGTGCCTTGTATCTCTAGCTGCCGCTGTTACATGAACAGAAATACTTCGCTGGAGCATCTTTTGTCAGAAATTCCGTCATTAGCAAAGCTATTAGCCAAAAGGAACTGGCTGACGAAATGAAACTTAGACGAATATGAGCTACTCACAACTGATATCAGATTACCTGGCATTAATACACTTCTATTCAACTAATTTGCGATTGCAAAACTTCAATATACACGGTACTCTGAATAACAATCGAACTCCGAAAGAGTATTGCAAAGCGCATATATCTCTATCACCATTCAATCATTCTGCGTGGTTCTATGACCTGCAGTTAAGCGGTACCTCTCATCGCATTTCCAAAATAACATTACATACCACAAAAAGCCATTATAACAATTGCCAAACAAACAATCTGAGCCCGTATTACATCCAATTCCATCGGGACATTTCTGTCCCGGAGCACAATTTCCACCACAATCAATGCCAGTCTCTCCAGAGTCGAGTATGTCATTATTGCATTCAGTAGCTATAAATAACTCGATCATTCACTTAGGATTCTGTATCATTTGCTATTATACTTACGTATGCAAGTATCAGATGAACACAAGCCACTACTACAGTCAATATTTTCTTTACAACCAGTGTACGTCATGCATTTTTTCGCAGGTACACATACTCCTCCACAGTCAGTACCTGTTTCATTAGAATCAATCACACCATTGTTACACGTGGATGCTAAAAGAGCGCACCGAAGTTATCGATTTTTACCAAATAGAATAACTTACGGATGCATACATTCGATGCACAATAACTGCTGGCACAGTCAGAATCTTTTGCACACCCAGCATAATTTCTACATTTTCTTCCAGCGGCACATACTCCACCACAGTCAATACCAGTCTCTCCCGAATCCATGACCAAGTTTTTACATTGAGCAGCTAAACGAAGAAATCAAAAACGTGTTCATTAACGACTATTACAATGACTCACGGAGGCAAACGTTTGATTCGCATACATCGCTGACACAGCCACCACACATGTTACATTTCGCTTCGTCGTTACATTTCTTTCCGTTGGCACATGGTCCACCACAATCGATGCCGGTTTCCGAAAAGTCCATGATTTTATTATTACAGTGAGCAGCTAGAACACGAAGCGAAAGGTACATGAATTTTAGAATGAATAACAAGCATTTACGTAGGCAAATATTTGATGCACAAACTCCAGTATCACAATCTGTGGTCTTATTGCAAGTCGACTTCTCATTACATTTTCTACCTATTGAACATTCTCCACCACAATCCGAACCAGTTTCGGCGGTGTCTCTTACACCATTGTTGCAATGAGCCGCTAGAAAGTACAGTATTGGAGCGAATATGATGGATTTTGATGAATACCCGTCGTACCGATACTATGACATCACTCAATATCACAATAGCAACGTTGACGTCACCAAATTGCTTTTAATTATGATGCTGATCACTTGGTATCAAACGCATATCGATATTAATGTGAAGACATGGGTATATACATCAAAAGTTATAAGCCCAAAACAAGTTCTCTGACTTTTGCGTATGTTGATATATTAATGATAATAAGTTTTGTATTTATTGTTTTATAAATTTAAAATTTCAAAAGAAAAAAAAAGAGTTTGTATTATACGTCTATACGTTGTACGTTATGATTTATTGTTATTAATTAATCGTCAAACAGCTTTTTGGCACATTTGCTATTAAGTTGATCTCGTCGGAAAGATGGAATACCACCGCCACGCACAGCCGTATACATGCTAGTTGCAATTGTAGAACATTCACGAGAAACTGGAGTTTGTCGAGAGCATGCAGTTTTCAAGCAAGTATAAAACCTATCATCGCAGACTGATCGCTTGTTGCCACATGTTTGATAGCATGCATCGTGCTGTACGCAGCAAGGAATAAGTGTATTGCGATTAAGCTTCTGCAGAAGTTTATCAATATTAAGTCCCATAGGGCCACAGCCCGCAGTACTTCGAAGGACTCGAACTAGAGGACTCATTGAAACCATATTAACCAGTAGAAAGAGACACAGAAGATGGGTATACATAACAGGCGTAAACGAACGTTGTCAAGCGATAAAAATTTTGGAACGTTGATTCGAGTTATATAGTATTGACAAAAGGTAAGATGGGGATTGTCCTTGAGAGTCAAAACATCGGCAAATGAATGGATAATTACTGTTATTACAGCCAAGGGTTGCTTTCCTATACTTTGATCATGACTTGTTCGGACGGGTATATGCTAATCAAGCGTAAAGATAGATAAGAGTTGGCGAAAAGGCCGGTCGATTGAATTTTTGTTTTAATTAGAAAATAACGGAAGTGATAAGAAACCATAACTTGTGACGCATTTCGTATGTGGCTTAGTCGCTCCTCAACGTCGAATTTGATTAATATGACTCGTTATAAAACCATGAAATCGAGAGAGCAATCTAAATCATCGAATATCTGTCAAAAAATGACGAGTAAAGACACAATGAAAACGTTTGAATTGAATTATCCCGTCTAAATCGAGTAGGTCGGCTTCGTTCACCTTCTGTCATATTATATATAAATCAGTTGTATTTTGTTTGCCATGAATAGTGCATAGTTTGGTGCAGATCGTTTATTCACAAAATCAAATGAAATATAGGACTTATTGAAAAAAGATTTTGACAAATTTGTAGAAAATCTTTTAAATTATTAATACCTTCAATAGCAGTTGCGGAATCTGTTCTTTTGTCATTGTTGAAATCACTACTATAACTACAGATATCGGCAGTGCTATATAACCAACTGACAACATTTCGAGATCATCAAATGAACCATTGCCGAAGCCAAGAAAAATACCAACGTTACTAGAACAATGATTGGCCATGGTAACATCCAGAAATGTATCGTTATTGTAATCAATAATATTAACTGCCCATGGCTCGCTTTGATAGCGAACGTTGAAAGTTCGATTTTGGCTTGAAAAAGATCGATTAGAATGCTTATATAATAAACGCACAATTTTGTCATCAAGATTAGTCGCGACAAAATCTAGTTGGTGATCTCGATTAAAGTCGCTAACAATGAAAGAGTTCAGTCGAGATCCACTACCAGTCGCCAGCGTTTGTTGTCGTACGAAAGCTTTATTCGTATATCCAAGAAACACACTTGCAATTGTATCATAAAGACTAACAACGACAACAACATTTGGTCGACTGTCGTTCTTAAAATTAGCAAATGTGATAGTGCCAAGTCAACTACCAGTTGAATATGTTTCTTGGTTTTCAAAAGTACCATCGGCATGTCCTAGTAAAAGGCTTATAGTATTATCACCAAAATTGGTCACAGCAATGTCCAATCAACTGTCGTTATTTAACTCCTTGATAGCTATTGAAGATGGATAAAGGCCAGATGAATATAATATGGGATTGTCGAAAGAATAATTAGTATTTCCGAGAAATATGTTTAGAGTATTGCGACCATCACTGCTGGCAACCATATCTAGCCAAGTGGTATTATTGAAATTATTGAAGGTAATTGAATACGGATGAAAGTTGTAGTCGGTTAAGAGAATTCTTCGATATGAGATGTAACTGCTTCCATTTCCTGCCTGGTCAGACAAGGCTGATTTTTACAGCACTGTTACACATTCAATTAGACGTTTTAACACTAAAAAGAACTTCTCTCTTGAAAACAAACGGTATATATTAACGCATTATCACGCGAAAAAATCTGTGTGTGTGTGTGTGTGTGTGAACGGATCAAAACATGGCATTTTTAACTTTTTTGTCTGTCGAGGCTGTGTTCCGTGGCGGTACATTGTTTCGTCTAATGTCTGTTGTCTTCAATCTACGATTCAATTATGAATAGCTGATGCTGCTTACAATGTAGGATATTATCTTAGTAAGTAAAGTATATAACAATACGAAGCTTCTGAATCCTAACATCTCTACATGATTGACTCATGTAATACTAATTTGTGCGTATGAAACTTTGAATCATTGGAAAATGTTTTTGTATTGTGAAAATAGTCAAGTTTCGATGGAATAAAACTGAGCATTTGATTAGATATAGTTTTTGAAACATAGCGCATTGAAATAACTTAATTTGAGACATTTTCTTTTTCAGAAAGCTGAACCATTCCACATCAACTTCTTTTCGTGATCCAACTTCATTGTCAAATCAAAACAATATACGAACATTCATTATCGAACTAAATGCATTTGTAAAATATTCTTTTCTCATACTGATGTCTGTATAAAATACATGTTCTTTCTTCTCTTATTTATTGTACAGCCTTATTTCGCGCTTTTTTTTGTATCATCAAATATTTTTTAAAAATTCGAACATTTTCATACCGATCCCTTAATAAACGGATTTACATGCTATATGAATAAGGATTGAAAAATTCAATCGTTCATCAAAAACCGTACCTAGTTCTGACGCCCTCTGCAGGACACCTGTATATTGAACCGATATGGTTGAGCGTGTTCAATCGATATACATCTGCTTACTGTTCTCTACCTTTTTTTTCTATGTTTGACACGTGTATTTCGACATTGGTTCGTTTTTTTATTCATATTGTACGATAAAATATCATGACATCAGTAGCAATACCATCTACTAAAACTCGTTGTGTAACATGTGCAAAAGAAAAACGAGCAGTGCGATGTGAAGGTTGTTTACAATTATTCTGTTATGATCATTTTCTAACTCATCGAGAAGATTTAAATAAACGATTAGATGATATAGAAATAA